TCCGGAAAGTCGGACCGCAGATTCCGTCCATTCTCGAGGACCTCCCAGAAAGCAGCATCGTCATCCACATCTTGTGGGAGCTTGAAGGCGTATCCGACAATGGCGATACCGTGTGCCGTGGACCGGCCACCATCGGTGGAGTCCAACGGGGCGCGCATGATGCAAGGCTATGGATGTCAAAAGAGATGACAACTTGAGGGCGCGAAAAAGAGGACCACCCACGGTTTTCAATGACAGTCAGCCAAGCAATGACCCCAAATCAGTAAATAAAATCAATCAACGTTCCTCTCCCCCGCTCTCCTCGGCGGTCGGCGCATTGGCGGTATCCGGCGTATTACGGACCAAAATGCGTGGCGAAGAGGTCGATGGAGTTGGAGGCCTCAAGCCTCCCAGACGGCTAGATAGTATGGATGAGTTGCTAGCCTCGTCTTCATAAGGTTCAGCAGGCCTTCCTTCGGGCCAAGTGGGTATCCAGTTGGAGGCTTTTGGAGAGACATGGATCGGTTATTTGGGACCAGATACCGCCTCAATGGGGCAGTGGATGAAGGATGACGGGTCTATGGTTCTCATATGAAGTGATACTACGTCGTGGTGGGGTTTCCTAGCAGATTCTGAAACACGAGGCACTTCTTTGGTGCTGATGCTATGGAACCTGATTTGTGAAGGTTCGCGGTTGGTCTAGTACCGACAGGCTGAAGAACGCGTTTCAACTATACCAGCAGGTTGTTCTACAGCACAGGCCACTATCTAACAGGAGGGTTGAACGAATTTTATCATTGCAACCATATACCTGTTGAGTATGTTGCTGTGTTGACTGCACGACATTGATGCTATACAGCCAACACAAGCTCCTGCACTGTTGCTGCCCTCCTCTCCCTCCTACTTCTTGGCAAGAGTAAAATCAGCACAAGTCTACTCCGGAGATAAGACAGCACGGCTCCTCCCATCCCAACCATTCGGACGGAACCAGGCCACTCCAATGGAACAGACCAATCCTTCCCAAAAAGTTAGTGTTCAGACCTAAAGGCGTGTTCAACTTGCCCACAATACCATGCCGGTAAGCACGAGAATACTACGGAGTATGATATTCTTACTAAAATAGTCATGCATATTAATAGTCCGTCAGCAAGGATTACTAGTGTTGTTAGGGGCACGAATCACTGCCCCCAATCGGCAGTGGATTAACCTAACCAGGGATGGAATCCTTCCCGTCCCAGGCTGGGAATGGCCTTAGCCCCGTCAGCCGAGTTTGGCTGTGAAGGTTTTTCTTCGGGATGTTATAAGGTTTGAATCTTATTATTATTATACCAGGATATCGACTTGTGGGTAACGAGAAGGCAAACTATTGAGTTAGGTTTCACTATGCAAGGTGATGGAGTTCATATATCCTCAGTTTCGTCTGTTCCCGGCTCTTCCCCAACGGTTCATCTACTCGACGGAAATAATATCCAGTTCTTCAGTGATTCTGCACGGAAAATAAACAAAAGAAAATATATGCACGAGGGAGAGAGAAAATCAAACAACTCAAGGCTAATCCAATATCGGACCATGATCTGACAGACAGTGGATGACACTAGCCGGGAATCGGATCCTGCAGGATCCATCAACGTTTCAGATAGATTCTCCGATCCTCGCAAGACTGGTCAAAATGGTCTGGATCAACAGCAGCCGGACCGCAACGGTGGACTGACTCCACCGGGTCGGGCTGGGCCGACGACCCATGTGAAGATATTGTTTCATTGTACTGTACCAGTAGACCGACCATACAATTCCATACTACCAACTAATCCACCACCCTCGCGATAGTCCGCTCGATAGCCAGCAAACACGGCCCCAATCCCTCCTCGGAGCCACCCGACCCAGGCACCCGGTGGCCCAAGCGAGAGTCGACCTGGACAACCTCGCGTACATTCTCATCAAAAATCTGGACCAACGCGCGCTGGGCATCCACCACGCCCGTCCGGGCCCACAAGCCCGCCAAGGGCGACCGATCCCGCAGACGCTCCAGGCCCTCCTCGACGACAATCGCAACAGGAACGCGCAACAGCACGCCGTCCACGCCGGGGTCCACGCACCGCAGCGAGTCAGCATCCGTACCGCCGACCCCATCTGGATCCCACGGGGCCGCGGCACTGAACAAGATGGCGCACTTGAAGTGCGCGAAGGGCCGTCTTGCGTCTTCGAGCAGCAGGGCAGTGGCGACAATGGCCCCCTCAGAGAACCCCATCAGGCCGTCGAAGGGGCCGGCGCCCCGCACGTACTCCACCAGGTTGGACAGGACGGCGCTGTAGTTGGCGGGCTCGTCAGCGGTAGTGGAGAGGGAGGGGATGTAGCCGTAGGTTTGGTCCGTGATGGCGGCGGCGGCATCTATCCATATTCCGCAGTGGGTTAGACAAGGTAGTAGAAAGTCAGATATAATAAGAGTCGTAAGATAGAAAAGAAAGGGATGATGGGAATAATGAAACAAACCGTCGCTTGGCTCCGTTGGGATCGTCCCATCGACGAATACAAACTCGTGATCCTCGAGTTCCTCGCGGATTCTCGCTATATTAGAATTAACAATCGTATCATATCATAAACTCAATATTAATCATAACATAATAGTACTATAGTATACTATAGTATAAGGTAATATAGAAAGACGGCACAAAAGGGGAAGTCTCACCGGTCTGCAATTCAAAAATCTATCCGTACTCCGACAGTGATTAGGGCTTGGGTAGCTGGCCACTAGTAGAGAGGAGATTTGGTGGGATCGACCTACATACCTTGGCGCATGAGCCCCGGCCGTGGAGGCAGAGGAATCTCATGTTATTCCTTGTTGAATGGGTCCTTTCTTTCTCTGGAGGTGGTATTGGATGGGTTGAATGAGATGGGTTGTTGGGTTTAAGTGGCGTTCTTCGACCGTTTTTAATTTATCGCAATAGTCTCATAATGATAATAATAGTATTGAAAATGCAGATAATAATATAATAAGAACAAAGCCTCCATGCAGCATATGATAATTACAATAGTACCCACCTGGGTATTGAACACTTTTCCCCACGTCGCTCCAGCTAACGATCTAATATCTCACTCACTCCACTTCCTTCCCCCAGCCTCTAAGGATACATCATCCTATGATTGCGATCCCTATCCACCGTATCCGCCCCCTCCGTAACCGTAATCTTCGTCGTCCGCATAATACCCGGATTATACGCATCCCCCTGCAAATGCTCGGTACTCTCACTGGACTTCAAATTATCCAGCTTATAGTAAGCGTTGGCGGCAGTGGAGCCCGCAATCCGGGACCCATTAACCGAGGAGTTGCCCGTGCCGTAGGACTTGAACTTGCGCTGGTCGTCGGTGGCGCCGGTGGTGGAGGCGCCGCGCATGCCGAAGACGCGGGCGATCTTCTTGCTGACGCCTTTTTCTTTCAGGATTTTGGGGATACAGGGGAGGCAGACGACGAAGAAGCCGCAGGTCATCTCGGCGGTGGCCCAGAAGACGAGCGGGGGCAGGGTCCAGACTGCGTCTGCGGCGCGGCCGTGCGTGATTGTTGTGGAGAGGCGGAAGGCGGCCGAGATGCAGGCCCTGTTATTTTATTTAGATTAGTTGGGGTAGAGAAGGGGGAAAGGTGGAGGAGGAACTAACAGGAGACCGAGGCCAAAAATGACAGACACTCCCAGCCTCTTGGACCAGGACATCTTCAGCGTCCAGATGACTTGCTGTGGGAGGAGGAGGATGGCGACGTCGGAGATCAGCTGGATGCTAGCGGAGGCGACTTGCAGCTTGTACAGGTCGAAGCACTTGTCCGGGTTCTGGATCGTGAAGTCCCAGATAGCCGCGTGGGGGATACACTGCAGGTTGAGGGAGACGGTGATGGCGATGCCGGAAGCGACCTGGACGAAGATGATGGCCATGCATCCCCACCAGAAGAAGCCCTCGGAGCGGTAGCCGCGGGGGGCGAACATGCGACACCATTCGGTGAGGATGGCGACTTTGAGGAGGGGAAGGACGATGGTGTAGAAGACGCCGAAGAGGAAGATGTACTGGTGGGATCAATATCCTCCCCGTCTATGGATTCCTGAATCCAGAAGGAGGGAAACTCACGTAAGTAGTGGGAATCATATCCTTTAACCGCACATTCCACTGGTGAACAAAGTATCCAGGGTATTCGATGAAGCGGAAAGTGGCATATATGGCGCCCCAGTAGCAGCCCTACCCTCCCTATCAGCGCAGTTCACTCATCCTCTCCAGTGAGGGAACACTCACGAAAGCACAGAGTACCAGACCCTCTTCCAGCTGAACCTTCCTCAACAACCACACCCGGGCATAAGCACGCATGAAGAAACACAGCGTGGCGACCACCGCACAGGCCGTGAGGACACCGGTCGCGAGGGCATTCTCATTCGGTGGATTATCGAAATTAGGCTTCACCCCGGGAGGGGGGGGCATGGCAGGTCCATTCAAATCCATCCTGTATATGGCAAACGGCCTAGATCATACGCAAAGGGGAAGGAAAGGAAAAAGAAGGTTTTTTCCCGAGACCTGTGGAGATTTTAAGAGAAGTCTTCTTATAGAACGAATACTTGTAGAGAAGGATGCGTTGAGAAAGGAGAAGCCCTAATCGGACAATTGGGATCTACAAGACAAGGAGGAGACTACGGGATGGCTGACCAGGGTGGTTGACGTGAAACACGAGGAGATTCACGCTACAGGCGGAGTGTCGCCGACCAGGATGGGAAACTGGAAGCTGAGGGAAAGATCTATTGATTGTATTCAATAGTTGGACAGAATTAGAAATGGCATGGCTCATTCCATCTTGCTGTGCTACTCGGTGGTCTGCACTATAATTTCTATTTTTCATAGTCAGAACCATAAATAAAACCAGTCGCAATGGCACCTGATTCAGCTATATCAGACTGTCATATAGATGATCTTACGGTTATCCTGACGGACGATATGGTTATTGTCACTCGCCATTATATTACACATGAATATAGACTCCAACGGACACTAACCACTCCCAACCACTGGGATCGTGTCCGTGGAATCCAAGTCCCATTCCCTCGCATGACACTCCAGATAGTGCACGGTTAGCGCTCCCAACCATCCTATCGAGATGAAGCCCTGCGGACCCGGTCCCTAAACCGGTTCTGGGAAGGATCACATCCCCGTCGAACCCATGTCCACCCGGAAATTGCTGCTTAACCGGTGGAGCCCGTCAACTATCCCAGGCGTCGGCGAATTCTAGGATCCTGTTGACACTACCGACGCTCCGACTTCCGGGGCTTCTTCCCAGAATGGGCAACAGACACGGCCGGCTAGGATCCGCCCCCCATTAGTGTCTAGTATTATGTCCCGTAGAGAAGAGGAGAAAGAGGGGAAGAGATAGGAGAGAGATCAGCAGGAGAAACAGGTGTGAAGCTCCCCGGTACCTGCAGCCATAAAGCCTAGTCCGACATGACCCCTCGGCTGTATCTTCCTCTCTCCTCATATCGACAATCTCCCGTGTCAAACATCGCCATGCCCAAGAAAGAAGTCTTTCAGCTCCATCCCCTCGGGTGGGAAAATGATCCCCAGGAGGAGCGGTTCAAGGTCTCCACCCTGGACTACCTGACGGCCTGCACCTACAACAACTATGCCGTCTACTTTCGGCTGAGCGACGCCGACAAGCCCCGGGTCGTCGAGATCCTGAAAGCTGGTCTCGAGCGCACCCTCAGCCAAACGCGCCACCTGTGCGGCATCATCGAGAAGGATGAAGAAGGCGGCCACTCCTTCGTTAAGAAACAGGACAGCACCGTCCGCTTCGAGGTCCAATGGCTGGACGCGCCGGAAGACAAACACGTCTCGTTCGACGAGATCGAACAGGCCAACTTCAGCGCCGTCGTCATGGGCGATCTCAACACCTGGAGCGTGCCGCCCATGACCTACGGCGAGAAGGCCGAGGCCCACCCGGACAACCGCCCTGTCGCGGCAGCCTACAAGGCCAACTTCATCCGCGGCGGACTGGTCTTCATCATGCATAGCCACCACTACGCCAACGACGTGATGGGCTGGTCGGGTCTGACCCACCAGTTGGCCGAGAACTGCTACGCCATCGTCAACCAGACCCCCTTCCCCGCGTGGGATCCTGCCTGTCTCGACCTCTCCCGGCTCACCAAGCCCCAAATCCCCGAGGCGTCCATGATCGACGGGCCTCCCACCCCCCAGCGCCACCCAGACCACACCGTGGCGGAGTCGCTCTTCTTCCACCTCCCCAAGAGCAAAGCCGCCGAGCTGAAAAAGCTCGCGACCCCGGCCCCTCCCCCCAGTGCCGCAACCTCCCCCATGGACACCGTCACGGGCTTCCTCCGGAGGGTCCTCTCCCGCCCCGCCCCTCCACCCGCCCCCACAACCACCCCGGACGTCCCCTGGATCTCCACCTACGACGCCTTCACGGCCTTCATCTGGCGCACGGTGACCCGCGTCCGAGCGCCCATCTTCAAACCCGACCTCTCCCAGCCCCTCTTCTGGGCCGAAGCAGTCGACATGCGCCGCCGCTTCCACAGCCCCAAGGTCGCGCCCCGCATCCAACACAACGTCATGTCCGCCGCGCTGTCCATCAACGCGCCGGTCCCCGCCCCAACCGCAGGACAGGTCATCTCGGAATGGCCCCTCTCCCGCGTCGCAGGCTACATCCGCCAGCTCACCAACAGCACGACGCAAGAAGCGCTCGACGAAGCGCTCTCCACAGTCGCCACGGTGCGGGACAAAACCGCCCTCAACATCCGCGCCGACTCCCACCCGCCCCTCTCGATCCTATTCACCGACCACCGCGACGCGCACATCACGGCCGCGAACTTCGGGTTCGCGAGCCCCGTGACGTACCGCCATCTGTTGGATGTTGTCAGCGCGGGTGTCTTTATCATCTATCCCCCGCGGGATGAGAAGCCGGGCTCGGACGAAGGACCGGAGTTCACGATTGCGTTTGAGCGGGAGCTGAAGCATTTGCTGCTGGAGGATGAGGAGTGGAATAAATACTTTGAGTTTAGGGGGGTGGATGCTGTCGATGCTGCTCGTGCTTAGTCCTTACCTTGGTATGGTAATCTTAATCCTCATTTTCCATCTTATCAACATACCTCAAGTCAACAAATGAAGAAACTGAATACAGTAGAAGAAGGTTACCACACCTTCCAATAAATCCTCTGAAACTTCAACTCCACAATCATCCACTCCCCATCCACAACCCTCCACGTCTCAAAGTAATGCCCACCCCCGGTCCCAGCCCATCCGCCTTGGACCTCCTTCGACGCAGCCTGATACACCACTCCCCAGAGAGTCTTCACCTCCTCTCCCTCAGGGGAAGACATCGTCATCTCCCCACTCCCAGACAAAACATGCATAGTCTGCTGCGTCTCGAACGCCGCGGCGAAAAAGGCAACGAATGCATCGCGGGAGTCAAATGAGAATGTGGCTCCGCCTTCGGTGATGACTTGGTCGTCGGCGTCGACGAAGGTGGCGCGGAGGTTGGGGGCGAGGATTGTCGACATGAGGTGCCATTGGTTTGTGTCGGCGTAGCGGCAGTATTGGTGTTTTTTGGTGCTGATTGAGTGGGTGATTTCTGGGGTGATCATCTTCGCCATGTTTACTGTTGTTTTTTCTTTTTGTTTGTTTGTCTGGTGGGTGGTGGGTGGTAGTATGTATGTAGGAGTTGGTAAGAGAGGAGTATGTGATGGAGTATGGGGTGGATTGGGTATGGGGATATTAATACTATCATAGAGTTAGCACTACACTCGTAGTTGAATCTTAAGCTAGTCTACTTATACTATGACTCGAATTGTCTCACAATTCTGATTGTATCATGATACTCTGCACTGATTCACTGGACTACTAGTATGGTCGACCCTCGGATCCTTTTTCGTATCCCCGGCCATTCACATCAATCATTGTCTTTAGTATGTTTTGGAAGTTTATTATATATCCAGTATAGTGGGTATAATGTATTTAATATAATTACACACAATAATAGTAAATAGTAAATAGTATCTGATGATCAATTAATATATGATCCCTGTCGGCGTATTACTTGTTTAGTCTACTGTCTAACAGCTGTTTCCGTTTAATATATGACTGTTGTGGATTATAACCCTTCTATTCTATCTGTAGAAGTGGATTGTATTATAGATTAACAAGTGATAGTCATACAAAGTACCCTGACTCAAGCATCTATATCGTGATTTATGGGTGTGGAGTAACACCTCAGGCACCCTCAGACATCACTAAGGCACCCAGGCATTGACACTAAATGGTTAGCGCATCACATGACAGCCAAGCGAGCATCACATGACTTAGCGGCCTGAGTTTTCTTTCCTTCTTTTCCCACAACATTCGCTCCTCTCTCTTCTCTTCTCTTCACAACACTCATCTGAGATATCTCGGACTGATTTAATGCGATCGGTCTTTATCATATGATGCATACACATACACCGTACCTAGTTGATCAGGACAACAAATACGACTGACAGCACTACACGAGGAATACAGCATGGACAAGGGGATACAATTGAGAGGAAGAGGAGGAGGAAGAGGAGGAAAAAGAGGAGGAAAGACAAGAACGATAAAACCCACATAGGCGGCGTCAGATCTGACAGTGATCTCGAGGCATACCTTTATTTTTATCGTTCGTTCGTGGGAGAGCAAAACCAACGGCTTTTAGCAGGGCTGCGTCTACTCCACCCTGGTGTTCGCTTTGATCGGACGGCAGGACTTTTTTACGACGGACATTCTATCTATCTAATTCATCTATTCGTATTTATCTTTTTTTTTCTATTGTCTATTTTATCTATCTTGTATCTGTATGCGTTTTATTGCATTCTATCCTGAACGTAGTGCTCGACGGAGACCTCCGTAACTGTCAATCTGAAGTGGACCCGGAACCGGCCATACAGAGAGCTCGAGTTAATAATTGGTATGGATGGGTCCGCATCCGGGGAGATACTCTACCTAATTAGTACGGAGTAGGTAGCTCAGAATACTTGTTCAATACCTATTCAGTCAAGAAGAAAGACTGTTCTCCAGCCATTGTGAGATTCAACCATGGTTGCAATGGTCACTCCACCTAAACACAAATCCGTTATCCTGGTAGAACTGCGGAGTAGCTGAGTTTAAGACAATATCTAGGCTATCATTGGTGAAGCCGAGGTAATTGTAGATGGCATACCTTAGCACAGAGGTACCAGATAGACAGAAACCGTAGAGAGAGAAAGACATCCCTGCTCCCTCCCTTCCTCTCGCTTCCCCGACTTTCTCCTCCTTTTTCTCTTCTCCGACTTTCCCCTTCTCTTCCCCTCCATCTCTCTCCATCTCCATTGTCATCTATTGTCATCTCCCCCCTCCATCTTCACACACACACACACTCTCTCTCCCCATCTATTCCTCTTTCATAGCTATCCACCATGGCAGCCAGATCCATCCCCCGCGCGTTCCTGCGCTCGGCTCGCCCGGCCATCCCCGCGACTCGCGTCGCCCTTCCCCACGGTCTCCGCGCGGTCTCTCGTCGCGGCTATGCCTCCGGTTCCGAACAGGGCAAATCCTCCAACGCCCTGCTCTGGACCGGTGTCGCCGGTCTCGCCCTCGGCGGTGGTGCCTTTTACTTCCTCCGCGACACCACCGACCCCATCAGCTCCGCCACCTTCCAGCCCAAACCCGCCGACTATCAGAAGGTGTACGACGCTGTGGCCGCTCGTCTGGCCGACGAGACCGATTATGATGATGGAAGCTATGGTCCTGTAGGTCTCTTCCACCGTGATCCAATAGACAAGTCACGCAGTCAATGGGAACTAACGAGTATGGCAGGTCCTCCTCCGACTGGCCTGGCACGCCAGCGGCACCTATGACAAGGAGACCGGCACCGGCGGCAGCAACGGCGCCACCATGAGATTCGCCCCGGAGTCCGACCACGGCGCCAACGCCGGCCTCAAGTACGCCCGCGACTTCCTCGAGCCCATCAAGGCCCAATTCCCCTGGATCACCTACTCCGACCTGTGGACGCTGGCCGGCGCCTGCGCCGTGCAGGAGCTGGGCGGGCCCACCATCCCCTGGCGCCCGGGCCGCCAGGACAAGGACGTGGCGGGTTGCACCCCCGACGGCCGTCTGCCCGACGGCGCCAAGGAGCAGAAGCACGTCCGCAGTGTCTTCGACCGCATGGGCTTCACGGACCAGGAGACGGTCGCGCTGATCGGGGCGCACTCGCTGGGCCGCGCACACGCCGACCGCTCTGGCTTCGACGGGCCGTGGGACTTCAGCCCGACGGTCTTCACCAACGAGTTCTTCCGCCTGCTGTCCGAGGAGAAGTGGCAGCAGAAGAAGTGGAACGGGCCGAAGCAGTTCACGGACAAGTCGACGCAGTCGCTGATGATGCTGCCGGCGGATATGGCGCTCGTCAACGACAAGACGTTCAAGAAGTACGTCGACATCTACGCCAAGGACAGCGATACGTTCTTCCGGGATTTTTCCAACGCGTTTGTCAAGTTGCTGGAGCTGGGCGTGCCGTTTACCACCAAGGCGGAGGACCGCATTGTGTTCAAGACGTCGGAGTAATAGTTTTGCTTGATTGACTTTTGATATCCTGTTTAGATGAGATTGGAATAAATGTAGATGTACGTTAGCTCAATTCGTGTGCTGACATGACACTGTAGTATTGGATAAGTGTAGCCACGTTGTAGGAGTGTATAAGCATAGCTAAGTTGTAGGTTGATAAAAGTGGTGTATAGTGTAGTGTATCCGTCTGGAAACGAGGGGTGGCGGGACGTCGCAACTTCACCCGCCCAGAACCCGCCGGATTTCGACTCAACACCACAACAATTACCATCAACAGTCTGGACCAGTGACCTCAGGACACAGTGGGAGAGCACTCAACATATTTCCCTCTTCTCCTCTCTCCCTCGCCTTCTTCCTCCCTCTCCCTCCGCCAGCGCGATCGCAAACTCAACCCAACCCACCCGAACCGATCGCGATCGCGAAAAAGACGACAGACTTAACCAAATCAAAGCGAAAGAAAGCAGAAAGAGAGAAAATGACCCAAACCCACACGCACTACGAAATTCTCAACCTCGCCTTCCCTACCTCCTCCTCGCCCAGCTCTACAACATTGACAAAACAACAACTCAAAACGGCCTACCACAAAGCTCTTCTCCAACACCATCCTGACAAAACCTCCTCCACCTCCTCTCCCTCAACACCAACCTCAATACCACCATCATCCACAACCACAAACCCCGATAGGAAACACACAATAGACGCCATAACAACAGCCTACAAAACCCTCTCCGACCCGCGCCAACGCGCAGAGTACGACACCCGGCTCCGCCTCGAGCGCAACAACGCCCAAACCAGCGGGCCTGGTGGTGGCGACGCGCACTTCCACACAGGCCTAGAAGTGGTCGACTTGGAAGATCTCCGCTACGAAGAAACAGACACAGAAACAGTATGGTATCGCGGCTGTCGGTGTGGAGATGAGAGGGGGTTTCTGGTTACAGAGGAGGATCTGGAGAGGGAGGTGGAGGGCGGGGAGGTTGTTGTTGGGTGTCGGGGGTGTAGTCTTTATCTGAGGGTTTTGTTTGCTGTTGGGGAGTGATTTCTTTTTTTTATATATATTGTCTTTGGGTGTGGGTTGGGTGTTTGGTTGGTGATTTGGATGATATGGTGTTGAGGCGATGCGGGCGTTGCTTCTACGTGGATGGTGGGTGGATGTGTAAATAGATTTTTGAGTATAGACCTTAAATTAATATTAGACATACGATATATTGGTTGATATTGTGGTGGGTTTGGTTTCGTAGAGGTGTGCGAAATTCTCATCTGGTAGGTAGAATATATATAATCACCTATAACCAGCAGAGACGACTAGCTATCCAAGTACTCCAAAACGACATTCAAACCCTATGGCCTGAGAAACATGTAACAAGCGAATATGCACTCTGCAAACCATACGTGAATTATTCCAAAAAAGACATCGATGGAATCTCACAGACACAAAGGCGGAGGGAGGCAGACGGATGATGTAGTCGCTCTGACCAAGCTAAGCAAACCAGTGACTCCTCCAGCTCTTCCTCCCATCAACCGGTACCTTCACCCCTCCAACCTTCAACAGCCTCACCACCATACACACCCACCACGATGTCATCCATCACACAGATCAGCTCGAAAGAGCAATTCAGCTCTCTGCTGACTTCGTCTAAATTCGTTGTCGCTGATTGTATGTCTCTCTTTCTTTCTCCGCTGACTGTTGACCCCACTACCCCTCTCACCACCACCTCTACACAGCACATCCGCTGCAAAAACATTCCACAAGGGACTACACCCCTACAAGCAAATCAACCTGCTAATAAAATGCAGTCCACGCAGACTGGTGCGGACCATGCAAAGCCATCGCCCCCGCCTACGAACAGCTCGCATCGCAGCTCTCCCGCCCCAACCGCATCACATTCACCAAGATCAACGTCGACGAGCAGCAAGAGATAGCCAAAGCGTATAGCGTTACTGCGTATGCCTACTACCCCTCCTACCTACCTACCTACCTACCTACCTACATACCCACCCTACAAAACAAACAAAACTAACGAAATGATAAAATAGAATGCCCACCTTCATCATCTTCGAACGCGGCCGCCCCGTCTCCACCGTCCGCGGCGCAAACCCCCAACAACTCTCCCAAGCCGTCCAGAAACTCGCCTCGGAAGCAAGCAAGCCCGACGAAGGCGGCGCCAGCACAGACTCCATCGCCGGCGGAGTCGGCTGGCTGGGTGCGCCCGTGCCGCGCGGATACAGCGATATCACAGACCAGTACGATCCCAAGGGCCTGGAGCTGCTGAATCGGGATAGCGAGCATGCTGGACCGCGGACGCTGCTGGAGCCGGGGAAGCCGTCTGCTTTGGGAGCCAAGGGGAAGGGCAGTGCTGGGAAGACGCCCGACTGGGTGGAGAGCGATACGGACGAGCAATTGATGCTGTACGTGCCGTTTCAGTCGACTGTCAAGGTGCACTCTCTACAGATTACGTCGTTGCCGGGGGTGCAGCAGGGTGAGGACGAAGATGAGGATGAGACGCCGATGCGCCCCAAGACGATTCAGCTCTATGTCAACCGGTCGCATGTGCTCGGGTTCGACGAGGCGGAGGATATCCCTGCCGTGCAGACGGTGACGATCCAGCCTGGGGACTGGGACAAGACGACGGGGACGGCCAAGGTCGAGTTGCGGTTTGTCAAGTTCCAGAGCGTGACGTCGCTGGTGATGTTCTTTGAGGATGGGGATGGAGACGGGGAGAAGTTGCGGGTTGACCGGATTAGGATTCTGGGTGAAGCCGGGGACAAGAGGGAGATGGGCAAGTTGGAGAAGATTGGGGATGAGCAGGGAGAATAGATATTCTCAGTCCGCTGTCTATCATACAAGCATACAATATCACTATCAATATCACTATCAATATCACTATCAATATCAATCAATCAATCGATTATTATTACTCGAGTACTACATATAAACTAAATAGTATATAGTATATAAGAATGTCCGATCCCAAACCAAAAGGCCTCATCCTGCAAAATCAGAAAGACCTATAAAGTAAGAACCGGCGTGCAATTTCATCCGTCTGTGACGCAACTGACACCTGAATAACATCACAGCTGGTATATCCTTTGACGGGGATAACCGATGTCCAGGCAACACGGGTGTATTGATAGCTGCGTCGCCGCACGAAGAAGAAAAGAAAAAAACTGGATAAATTTGCGCTGGCTCAAGGTGAATTTATGTGGTTTTCGCTCGGGGCGGATGAACCTTTGTTTCCGGGGGGGTTAGTGCGGTTCGAGGGGTTATGTAAGCTGTTTACCGAGGGGATTTTTTCTTCCCTTTTTATTGTGGGAGGGAGGGAGTTTCTCTTCTGAATTATATAGGCTGATGATGAGTTTTGGATGTTATACATGATAGGAAGAGACTGATTCCTTATGGAATGTGATCTTAATACCGTCCGCTGAGGCCTTTTACTCTATTCTTTACTTTGTGTTGTTGTGTTGTGTTGTGTGTTGCCTTGAGCTGAGGAGGTTGGCCTTTCTGTCTGGTTGGAAGATACTGCATCTTTATCGAGAGTATGGTAGCTAGATATAACTCGAGTATTTCATTGACAAACGTATCAGGAGAATTCATTGAGAGAACTGATTAAGGTAAATCTATCGAGACAATTCTCTGAAGTAACTCACTGAGACTTCCAATCTCGATAGGGTGTATCGCACTCGACCGATACAAGCATCGCACAAGATAGGCACCTACCTTGATGAGATACAGCCAGATCTACCGATAACACAATAGACTCGAATAAACTCAACTTAAGCCAAACCAAGACCATCTGTAACAGATCAAGATAATATCAACCACGGTCCAAGCCCAGCTCAAACAAGGCCAGCCCAACAGGGCCAGCCCAAACAAGGCAATGCAGGTACCTTGGTGATATGATAGCCCTCAATATTATATTATACCACGAGTCAAGGAACGGAGTTCATGTCCGGTCTGTGTCCACCCATTCCGGCGAGTAATCGGAGCAAGCGAGACACCGTGCAGCCGAGTTTTTTCTTGTATGGCGCGATCTCGGAGTTATCATCATCTAATCTTAATAGTAGCTAGATATCCGAATGAAGCGGCAAAGCTGGTCACCTGCTGGCCAGGGCGTAGTCCACTCCGAACCAGGGAACCAACAGAGACCATCACCACGAGCACTGACGAGTTTTGCCATTTGACCCATCCCGATCATTCACTTCGTGGGTTGATTTGCCAATCGTCACGACCAATGCCATGCTGCTATCTACCAGGGTACCTGTCCGTACGACTTCTCGTCGGGATCGCACCAATAACAACGCAGGAACCACACCATGAGACACTCACCTCAGACAGACTGGTGTAGCTGACCCCACAGCTATCACGGCGCAGCCGCTGAGACCACGCACGGCAGCGCTACACGGGAGGAAGCCCGCGCGCCCGGGTCCTGTATGTAGCCCGTCGATCATGACACGGTGTGCTCAGCACACTGTGCTGAGCGTGCAGACTGGAGTAAGCATAGCATAGTAGCATCGGCAAGGGAAGTAAAATAGAAAAGAAAAAAAAAGAAAAACCAAAAAGAAGATAAAGGAAAAAATAAACCCAATCCTTCTGCAGAATCTTCATGCATAGTCACAGTGGCGAGAGTGCTGGACCTCAAATAGAGGGTTGATTGGGTAGACTGAGTTTATCATATTGATTGGGGTGAAGGGATGGCTTGCTGATTGGGTTGGCGATTGTCTCAGCGAGGCTGACTTTTTCAATTTTTCTTTCTTTATTTCGATATTTCTGTGCCTCACGACAGTCAACCACTGGTAGAGAAAAAAAGTAGCATGTGGAGTCACATCCACGTCGATAGAGTTCACGTTCAAGGCTTGGGAATTTAGGAGGCTGGTCCGGTCCATGGTTCAGCTTCAATGTATCATATCTGGTGTGATCGTGGCTTGATGTAGTGTGGTGGATGGTGGACTCGGGAGCGATTCATGCATTGGAAGGATAGAGAACGAGGTGGATTTCTTTCTTTTTTCTTTTTTGTTTCTTTTCGCTTTCTTTATTTTTGCTTTTTCTTGTCATTTTCCGATTGCTTGGAAGGAAAAACTGTGATGCCATCTGTTGGACTGATTGGCAATGCGATGATGGAATCGGAGACCACCGGTGAGCCCTTCGAGTCAGTGCTACTCAGTGTAGGATTATCAATGTCATGATTATCATGATAATTTCATATGATTATGATGATATTCAATCATGATCAAGTAAAGACAGGACAAGTAAGTAGGAACCGTGTGTGCAGCCTCGGTCTAACATCTGAAAGCCGGGGATGAGTTCCTTCTCCGCATTTCGACTGGGATGTTTGGTTCCTGCAGCGGGGATTGAACCAGACTACCACCATGTCTGTATTCGTATTTACTGTGTAGAAAGTAAGCGGATATCAACTGTAGGACTCTTTCCTAGTGTATAGGAATCAGGAATGCATTGAGCGGTCAAGTAAAGTAGCCAAAGTCAAGTTGTCGGTGAGCATGGATTCATTCTTCTCATGTTCTGGACTTCTTCGAGATAGACGGTGAACAGACATCTATCTACTATCTAGTAGTTACGCTCGAAAAGTACGGTCAGTCGCCCACATAACTCACTTAGTCAGAGACGGTGTAATAATACACTAAATGAGCTAAGATCATCGATGGATCACGTCCACTTCCAGTCGGCATTTCATTGCTCGACGGACCTGGAGAGAAGTCCCGGTGGTTAGTGTAGTAAGGTACGGAGTGGTGGTACTCCGCTCTTGTTACCATCATGCTATCAACTATCAAGGTACCTGGACGACTACGAGAACGAAGAGAATAGATTGGTAGATACCAGATGCTAGTACCAGATACTGCAGTAGCCTCAGCACCAGCACGTGAATCCATCCAACCTAGGTTCCGCCGTGATCGACCCGACTAGTCGGCTCTTCCTGCAGCCAACGAGCTTCCCTGTAGCACAAACGAGGAAGCGATAGACAGCCTCTCTAGAAAGAAACGAGAGGAAATGAAAGAGACAGAAAAAAAAAAGTGGACATGATTGGCCACGGGGACCATCTCCTAGGGGACCTGGGAACTATCAGACTATCTCATCTCGACCCCCACGAGGGACTGAACTTGGAAGATTGGAGGTGCATATCATTTACCCAAAGGGGAATACGCACATCGCCTGGGCTGGAGTTTGGAGTCTGGATCCCCTCTTTTTTTCCCTCCCCTCCCTCTTCCCCGGTATTTGGATCCTTCTTACTATCTTACTACTACGGATACAGGTACTACTGCTACCCGACTAGGTAGATTGTGGTATGGACCTAGGTAGCTAGGAGCCTAGGTAGTAGGAGTAGGTACTGTAGCTTGACTGGTCGGTGAGGACTTCCAACAACGGTTGATAACTTTATCTACTATTACATTAGTACATACTACTACCTATAGTATAGTATACTATAGCAGTTATATTATCATCTACATGTCATCACTATAGTCACTCACAACCAATCTCATTACCACTTACTACGGAGTATTTACTATCACCTACCTACAGTAAGACCTGCGGTACCTTACTACCTCTACCTACCGAAGTGGACCCGGTTACTGGCCGTCCCCGCAAAACCAAGCTCCAGCTCGCTACCGTCCACGAAACAGGTTTGTCTCCACAGATTTCATACTCTTCTCCCACTGTATTAGTAACTCCTCCATACCTATTACCTACGATAGTCACTAGATAGTAGACTGAGTACCACGGTCGGCAGACGGGCCCTTCCCACTCCCGACCCAAAGACGAGGCCTACGCACGGCCTCACCATAGCAGTATACGGATGACTGACAGAGTACTACTCTGTACGGAATATAACCAAAATATATACTGTACGGAATAGTATAAACGATCCAAAATAAATAACAAGACATCTTAGACCAGTTGATTCAAATATAGTAAAATATAGTAGCAATATAAGTTGAAAAAAAAATCATCTGAGTAATGTGTGAATTGCCTGACTCTTAAGCGACGGGAGGCGTCCCGCACCGTTCCACGGAAAGTGAATCGGGTCCGATCCTACAAAACTTGCCCTGGGCTAGAGCAGAGCGACAACCTGCTTCAACCGGGTAAACCAAAACAAACACCCTTCACCTCCTACCCTATTCATCTCCCATCCACTAGGCAGTTCCCAGTGCCCACCAGGAACTCCCAAATCAACCTAGAAAATCGAAACCGAAGAGAAAAGCTAGAAAACGACGAAAAACGAGTTAGAAGTTTCTTCGCACCCTCTAACGCCTCTCGCCCCAGCAACTAGTCCCTCCTCCCTTAGTCCCAATCACCACACGAGGGGCCGGAGATCACTGATATTAATTCCGACGGCCAATGACCCCCACCACCCACCCGACCAGGACAGTTTAGAACCCGGCTATTTCGAACACTATTTAGCACTTACGCCGGATGGTTTCAACCGCACCTCCACCGACTAGACCATCCCCGGCAGTGGCACCTCTACAGGCGTCGATGCTGCCTGTCAGTGGCTGCTGCTGTGGGGTGAAGCCCACAGGAAGTTGGCCGGCCCGATTGGCCGGCTCCACGACGCGTAGACGGTTTCAGATGGTACCTACTGTGGGTTATTTAGTTAGGTTCCGTATGGCGTATGGAGTTGGCGTTGGCGTCGGCGTTGGCGTACGGCGTAATGGGGAAAAGAAAAAAAAGAGAATAATAAGAGAAAGAAAGAAGGCAGAAATATGGGTCCGGTTAAATAACAGGGTAAATAACTACCACTACAGTACTACTACGGAGTACTAGGTGCTATTTGTTATTGGGTAGTGGGTGCTGCGGCTTGGCCGGTCGCTGGGACGGATACCGCAGTGGGATCAAGGATGGGTTGCTTCTTGCTTGGGTGGATTTGGAGCTTCAAGCTTCTCCATTGTTTGGATTGGGGGATTAAGGATTCGGTGTGCTGGGATGATCCACCTGGGAATCTATTATCAATATTATCAATGGTTTGGTTTCTGCTGTACCCAGAGATAACGAGATACTGTCGATAGTGGGGGGGCATACAGAGACACAGACACATAGAGACAGACACATAGAGACAGACACATAGAGACAGACACATAGACACAGACACATAGACACTGACACAGACACAGACACATAGACACAGACACAGACACAGACACAGAGAGACAGACAGCGAAAGACAGATTGGGAGAGGAAGACAGAACCAACTGCATAGTTGAACTCTATCCACCAAAACAAAGAAAGACAGAGTTCGATCTGCGCCACACATCCATCGTACAACAGTTACCCAATCCACACAGTTCAAGTGGCGACTGGCAAGTCATGACAACGAGCTAGTTGCCAACCACTGATCCAAAGAACAGTCTCGACACGATCAGCGTTCTCTCTCAAGACCCGGTCGTAAATTGCCCATCATCCCGTCCACAGTCCGAACCCACTCCCTAGACCTGATAGCCTTGCTAGGCGAACTAGGAGAACTAGAGGCGATCCCGAGGCACCTTCCTACTTGAGTAGCAGCATCGAAGGCGGCGGACGGTGGAAGAACAAAACCGTTGCATGATGTGCGATGGGTGATTTGGATCCGCATGGGCTCCTGAGTAGTGGCAATCTTAGACTCTTGGTACCTAGTGTCGGTCTGGTGGCTGATGCGAGCCCATACCTCTGGCTGATGCTGCGTAGTGGCGCCACTGTCACTTTTGACGTGTTGTATACAGTACTTGATGTTATCTATGAACTGTAGTATACATGTTGTTCTGCAGTACTATCAATCGATCATCCTTCCAAAAGACCAAGTGTGCAGATAGATAATAAGTACCAGATAAGGAACCAAAGAAACCAAAAAGAAAGATGATGGAATCAGCAACGGGTTCCCGCAGACGATACCCATCCTTCAGCATCTCATTCGTCGGGGAATGTCCGAGAGGGTCTGTTTAATTTCTTCCTCGCACGGATGTCTGTTTGAGGGACTTTTTCCTACCTATTAGCTACCTCCTTAGTACTAACTAACTGTTTAGGGTACTCAGAAGTACTAGGTAATGTGCCTCGTCCTAGGTACCTACCACCTACTACCTACGGTACGGTACCGCCCGCCCGTCACCGGATGCGCCGTCATATCTCCATATCCACTTTGTCGTCTCCTGTCTATCGGTCCATCATGGTCCATCAGTCCCTGATTATCGTTGCTAGTTTCTGGAGGATTATTCCTGAGTTGAGGGAATATTCCTTGGAATAATAGACCAATATTGAGACAATAGTAAGTACCCATTAGTAGTTATATAATAAGATAATGATAATGATAATATAATATAATATGATATAATATAATATCAACTCCGTAGCCTCCGTTCCAACCCGACCAGACAATTGGGATCAGAGGTGATGTGCTGGTGGAAACTATCCAGCGACCTGTTAGTATTCAGTACGCAATGGGTACTAACTAGGTGGACATATTCCCACCAACAGCAACCTAATACCATCATCCAGTCCATAGAATGCGTAAGACGACGATATCACAAAGCGCCGACAGTAGTATAAATTTAAATCTAATAATAAAATATCATGGCCATGAAAAATCAAAATTCTACCTGTCAGCTCAGCAGGGCTATCGTTTGGACACGTACACACACCACAGCCAACACCACCGGATCATGGAACAGGATTGGCTCGTTGCGGACCAGTCTGTGCGACAACGGTTTTGTGGCAATGACAGGGGCGTTCGTTGGACGGTGCCTGATGCCGCAGTCAGTCCTCGAGGCGAAGTTCCATCCTTCGTCTTGATCCTGTCGGTTCTGACGCCCTGACGCCCGGCTTAGGGAGGAGTAAAGTGACCATGATAGAAATGTAGGTATACTTGACCGGCCCGGAGCTTAATCATGACCGGAGCCCTAATCAGACGGGCAATTGACTTGGCGATGCGACAACGGTGATACTTGTCTGTCAGGATTATTCATTTGTTATTAAATTATTATAATTATTTCCTGTTTCAATCTTCAATAGTCAACCCACTGTTTCAACTGTCTTTCCAAATTTAATCTAATTTTATACTATTTTGATTTTTTTCTTAGTCCAAAACCCAAACAGGTTTCCACCACAATTCCATATCCATTCCCTTCCTACCTACTGGGTAGAAAATTCTACAGAAATTACAAAACGTTCCAGAACAGGCGCAAACAACCTGACATCGAGGCAGCTAATTTACAGCGCCAGGGGACATGGCGGTCCAGAACGAGAATAAAATTACTTACTACGCAGTGGTACATGGGTTTCTATCTTTAGACGGGGGTTAACCGGTACGGTAAGGACCGTACGGAGCCCAGGTTTTTGATGGGTGGCATTCGGGTGCTGCTGTTTTGAGTAACATGGTAGTGATCATAATTAGAATAATTATAGAACTGTCGAGACTGCCAGTATTCTTCTTCTTCATTTATTGATCTATGGTTCTGTTAGGGAAATTATTGACATTATTTCAAATATCCGGTTGAAGAATACAGTGCCTGTATCTAACACTACAGTGAAATCTTACAGCATGAAATCAGTCGAATAAATAGAAACAAAAAAAATACATGGGTTGCGTGCCACAACCAGTCGTACCATACGACATGGTCCCCATTACGACAGTCCAGTCATCAATTCCGACCCAGTGGACCGGTGGTCAGGTTGTGATGTCAGTTCTGGATCCATCTGACAGCTCTCTGTCCCTTGCATGGTATATCGTACCTGTCAGGCAACAAGGTTTGGAAGATAAGGTTTCAGTCGTATGTCGAGAAGTAGAGTACGGAGTAGACAGTATCTACTAGGTGCTGTATCTGTATAATGGTAGCTAATATGAATACGAAGACTGTCGATACTGTGAGGCTTGCAGGAACCAACAAACTACCGAATATGATAAAGACCCGTTCGATCAAAACAAAGGGACCACTGAGTACAGAGCAGTTAATAATAACCATGACAAATACATCGGAGGATTTTCATGATCTGAACTGACACCTGTAGCGTCCCAATATATGCACCTCCGATAGAAGTCTGTATGGCCGTGTAACCGTCCTACGATGGAGTGCTAAGTAAGTACGGATACTACTGACGATTGCCACTGACTTGACGAAGCAAGGGCTTGCTTGTATGCATGCATGCATCATGCAGGTATCTATATAAATCAATAATGAATATTAATATAATCCGTTGGTTCCTGCAGTAGGCCGAAAAACAAGCCGAGTTAGGCAGTGGTTGACACCGTTAATCCAGTTCAACCGTCGAGTCCATCCCCGGAAATGATGTATTCGATTTGGGGAGACACTGGACAGTGGACACTGACAGAAGCAACGCAATCCGACATCATGGGCCACTTGCCTATCGTGAAGGTTAACTTTGCGCTATGTGGACCATCCCCCTCCCCTCTACTGTTCTCTCGTCGGGATGTAGGGCAGATAATCCGTTTCATCTGGAGGAAAGTCGAGTCAAGTCCCGGGCGGGATGGGCTAGTGGACGGCAATTGGGCTATCATAATCATATGGTCTGTAGGGTGAGATCATGGTGGATGGATCCGTACTCGTACTCTGCATGGTGATGACGGAGGGAAAGTTCGACTGATTGCTCTGGATGCAGATCCAACGTTTGATTGGATTCACCCAGGCACAAGCTAAGCATGTTGGTGAGTTGCCACTTGGCTACGTCTCCAGTGCTCCACCGGTACCTGCGTGCTGCCAGGTACTCGTCCTTAGATCCATGTCGTTAGTCTTCATTTAGTCTAGTCTCGTCTAGTCTCCAGTCTCCAATCTCCAAGTCCTAGCGAGTGAAAGGTGAAAGGAAAGGAAGGAAGGAAAAGAAGGAAAGTCCAGAGCGATCCGCATATGGCAGTAGCCAATACCAGTGGAAGAAGACCATCGATCAACAACCCGGGGAATTGATTTGGACAATGGAGTTTGGAGTCTGGCACCTTGTTGGCTAGTTTTCCACTGGCTTGACCGACGATCTTACTAGAAGGGCGCATAGATACGCATGGTATGGTAAGGGTTGGTAAAAGAGTGGTGAACAGTAAGATTAAACCAGCGGGCGGGATGACCGTGGGGCCGAATGCTAGGATAGTCCCAGTCTTTCTCTCCAAAGATTCCACCTTAGGTTAGGTTAACTATCAGTACCAAATAGCCTATCATTGGCCTTCCTCTCCTTCTCGCTGATAAGCAGGTATCCCATAGAAGGATTGACTCTTATTATCACTATCAATATTTCTCATTTCTCCCGGACTATCTACCCAGATACCTAGCCCTAGGTATGGTCTTGGCAGACGCGTGCTGCATGCTTTCTTTTTTCCCTTCACGACAAACTGTTGGCTTGGACTGCTCAGTTACCTGTCTATCGAGACTGTTTGACTAGATAGGTTGGCTTGGAAGACCAAGTCAGGCAATCAGACCGGTGGAAACAGGAATACTATTTTAGGGATGTTTTGAAGTGATAGACAACTGACGGGTCTGGTCACTGCCACTGTGGATAGTGGCGATTCATTCATACCAGTCTTCTGTGTCTGAATTTTCTATCTGGTGGATGGGCATGAGACAATCTTAGATTACTAGATTATCTATATTACCCATTATATTACTTGGAGAGATTTTCTATATTATATATCATGCCATCCTGTGATGCAACGTAGAGCACGAGATAGGGTACAGTCGAGCACCTCCGCACTCCCGTCCGGTTGGCTCTTGGGACAGAGTCGTCCTGACACTCAATTGGGCAAGAGGGGAGTGGGAGTCAGGAAATCAGGATAATCCTATCTCTATAAAAATAAAAAATAATAATAATAATAAAAATGATGATAATTATAATAATAATAAATAAAAATCAAATCCTAAAATAAAATACAATAATAAAACCATGAAATATAGAAATAAGTGTAACGTAATATACTAGGGAAACCTTGGCGAATGCCCATGTCTCTCGTGCTCTTCTCGCCCCACCCAACTTGCGTCTTTTTGGGTTCCCCGGCCGAGGTGGTGGGGAGGTGGGCGCGTCTTTTTTCTGTTGGCCAGGATTATGGGCGTCGTCACGCCATTTTTCTTTCTCTCCAATCGCATTGCATTCTTGACTTGTTAGGCATTCGTTTTGATTTCATTTGATTGATTTGGTTTGATTCGATTCGGTCAGGTTATAACATGGTGTGGTGTTGTCGTGTGGGATGGCACTATTGTGGACTATAGTAATAAGACGAGGGACAAGAGACAGAGAATGGGTGAAACTTGACCGACCCCACCTCCCGTCTGATCCACTGACTGACTTGACTGGAACCAAGTGAGATACGCTTCTCTTCCCGTGGGGGACTTGTTGGTTGTCCCTCTCGGACTCAGGTAGGGTCTCTATCTACCCACTTTGGGAATGTTGCATCAGGCAATCTAATCATGCAAAAGGATGGCCAACCGAATAATCCTCTCACCTTCCGTATATCATGAGGAAATATCAAATCATCAAAAGAATCAGATCCTACCAGAAGACATTCTAATAATTCCGTTCCCAAGCCGGATGACACCATCTGGCGGATTGGCATGGACTGTGGGGTATCGAGATGATTATAGGGAAAGAGAAATAATATTATATTATCATGATAGGAAATATAATAATAATCATATTTCCTAGAATAATAAAACCCCTACTAAATAAATAATAAATATCATAAAAGTACTGTACCACAGCAGATCACTCTTTTATCCACTCTTCCCATCCTTCTAGTCTCTCTCTGCCCATCTTGCCCTTTCCGTTCTCTCTCTCTCTCTCTCCTCTCACTTTCTCTCTCTTCTTTCCCCACGTTTCTCTTCGCTCTTCTCTCTCTTCATCTTTCGCTTCTCTCTTTCATCCTCATTCAATCCTTTATTTATTTTTTCCTATTCCCATCTTCCATTCCTTCTCTTCCCTTTCGATCTTTTAGACTTATTACTTCCACCTCTTAGGAACCCTCGTTTCCTCTCATTCATTAATCATTATCACTACTAGTACTAGTTTAATTCCTCTGCACATTCTCTCTCATACTCCTCTCTTGGATACTCATTCCTCGATTTGTTTCATCTTGATTCGGATTGGACTCTTCTGTTTATACAACCCTGAAGACAACACGAGACATCTATACGAGTCTTGTTCCATCTCTTGGACTTCATGCCCCGGAGATAGCCTTCTATATACTTATACACCCACACTCTTTCATCTACCTTACCCCCCAGTTATACACTTAATATCCTCCTTTCGAGAGTAGGCCTCCTACTCTCGTCGTTCCTCGACTTATACTTTATAATGTTCGTGCTATCAATGTCTACCCCTCGCACTCGGATCGAATACTGACCGGCTTAGTTCAACCCACACAATGGACTCTACATATACCATGCAACATCCGTCGTTCGCCTACTACCCGACGGCGGATTCGCAATCCAGAGCGCAACAGTTCACCAGCCACCCCTCCGACATGCACTACTATGGTCCCGTGCAGCAGCAGTACCAGCCCCAGCAACCTCACTGCCTCCCTGACCAGCAGCCTCTCTACTCGGCCCAGCCCGTCATGAACATGCACCAGATGGCCACCACCAACGCCTTCCGGGGCGCCATGAGCATGACCCCCGTCGCCTCCCCCCAGCCCTCCCATCTCAAGCCCACCATCGTCGTCCAGCAGGGCTCTCCCGGCTTGATGCCCCTGGATACGAGGTTCGTCAACCACGAGTACTACAACTTCCCCTCCACCCCTCCCTTGTCCGCCACGGGCAGCTCCGTGAGCAGCCCGCCCTCCTCCATCAGCGGGGCCTTGAACACGCCCCTCAACGATTGCTTTTCCTTTGAGAAGGTCGAGGGAGTCAAGGAGGGGTGTGAGGGTGATGTTCACGCCGAGATCCTGGCCAACGCCGACTGGACTCGGTGTGACTCGCCCCCGATGACGCCTGGTAAGTCTGATCATCCTTGGTATTATTTCTGGCGCCTCCTGTCATAAGTGGCGGGCGGAATGCGGAAATAAACCCCACCTGCAGATTGATCGGCGCTAACATCTCCCCCTTCAGTCTTCATCCACCCCCCTTCCCTCACCGCCAGCCAGAGCTCGGAGCTCCTGTCCACCCACAGCTCCTGCCCATCCCTTTCCCCCTCTCCCTCCCCGGTCTCGACCATCATCTCCCAGTCGCAGTCGCTGCCGCTTGAGCAGTCCAGCTCCGACTTCTGCGATCCCCGCCAGCTGACCGTGGAGGCCACCCACCCCGCCGCCCCCGCGGAACTGCCTGCCCTGCCCACCCTGTCCTGCGATGACGAGGAGCCCAAGGTGGTCCTGGGAAGCGAGGCCGTGACCCTGCCCGTACATGAGAACCCGTCCCCGGCCTTCACCGGCGCGACCGAAGACCCCCTCAGCAGCCTGCCCACCTTTGACAGCTTCTCCGACCTCGACTCCGAGGACGAGTTCGTCAACCGTCTGGTCGACTTCCCCGCCACCACCGGCTCCTACTTCCTGGGTGGCAAGCGCCAACGCGTCGGCACCTACTCCCTGGATGGCGAGGAGTTCCTGACCGAACACGGCCTGGAGGATCTGGACGATCAGGACCTCATGCACTCGGGCCTGCCCTTCAGCGCGCCCGAGCTGACCCTCCCGGGAAACGCCGCCGAGACCGACGAGATGAAGTCGAAGAAGCGCGCCACCTCGCGCAAGTCCCTCAGAAAGTCCGAGGGGGATGCCACCCTGGCCAAGAAGGCCCACACCCCGGCCAGCCACGGCTCCCCGTGCTCTGAGCACGGCGACGCGTCGCCGGCCGCGCACGCGTCCCTCCACGAGGGCTCCGTCGACAGCCCGGGCGAGACCCCGTCGGCGCCCGTGTCGGTCAACCGCCGCGGTCGCAAGCAGTCCCTGACGGAGGACCCGTCCAAGACCTTCGTGTGCACGCTGTGCTCGCGCCGCTTCCGCCGCCAGGAGCACCTCAAGCGCCACTACCGGTCGCTGCACACGCAGGACAAGCCCTTCGAGTGCAACGAGTGCGGCAAGAAGTTCTCGCGCAGCGACAATCTCGCGCAGCACGCGCGCACCCACGCGGGCGGCTCCATCGTGATGGGAGTGCTGGACCCGAACGGCGCGCCGACCTTTGAGGAGCAAGATCCAAACGCCCTCGGCAGCGTGCTATACGAGGCTGCCAACGCCGCGGCGACCAAGTCGACGAGCGAGTCGGACGGCACACTCTCCGACACGCCATCGGTCGACCGCCGTGCGCACAAGAAGCGCAAGCGCGAGGAGCACGCCTAAACCCAATCGGGCGTGGCCTTTTTTCTTTTCTTTGTCTTTACGAAGCGATGTGACCAGGAGTACCCTCATACTACATAATACACCTTGCGCATAATCGACCTCCCGACAACGGGACGGTCTACTTTTGGTCATGGTTTGGCGTCCGGCTTGGGGCTCCTAGGAGGATAGAGCGACAAAATGGGGTCGTTGTACTGATACATTCATACATTCATACATACATAACACCCGGCATCTGGTGGTGTCTGTGTGGCGCATTCTGGAGTCGGACACGGCTGGTTAGCTGATGGCGAGGCATGGTGCCTTTTTTTTTTTTCAACATTTGATTTTGATTTCGATCAGGGATTGAACCTTCGATTCTGACTACTCGTTTGATCTGATCTGATTTGCATTGTTTGCTATCTATTGGTGTAATATTGTTGATTCCCTGTTGTTGGTGATGTTGTGGTTGATGTTGTGCTGGACACATGTATACTTTTACTTTTAATTTCGCCAACTGTTGCCGATTGCCTCATACCCTGTGCATAGCTTATTTATTTCCTTGTTCTTATTTCCTTGCTTCTATTGCTCTTTGTTTGCTTGGTTGATTTCCTTTGTAATTGATTGCATACATACTCGATGTTATGTTTGTGTTAGCTGAATAAATAAATAAATCAACATATTGACTTTCGAATGGATGGAAAGATATAACATGTAAGCTAGAAAAGCAGATGCCTAACACTAAGCGTTTCTAAACAAACCCTGAATGCAAACCATCACCGGATCAGAATATACCGAACTGGGGTCCTCCACACCGGGTCTGTCGTTCTCGTCTATGAAGATTTTCAGCCCGATTGCTTTATCCTTCGCATCCTCCTCCTCATGAGTATTGTGTTCGTGGGTCTTATCCTCTGGGGTAGGACCCTCGTAAGTATCACCTCTAGACTGACGAGTGGTAGGAGTAGAAGTAGAGGTATCTTCAAAATAAACAACACCACCGGGAACACCCTCGCAGTCTCCCCAAGGTGGACCTTCCCCGGTGGAACCGGTACCGGTGCCGGTCCCGGTACACACGAATTGGAAGCCCCGGAGGGGTCCTTTTCCTGTTCCTGTTGTCGGGATCTGTGTCCAGAGACGGAGGGAGTGGAGGATTCCTCCACTGCCATCGTTGACGATCCACTCCTCTCGGGTGAAGTGTGGTGTGCGGAATTTCTGTTCTTGGGAGAGCGGGCTTTGGGTGTCTTCGTAGCAAGGGCATTTTTCACTGTCAATGCTAGTGCCAATGCCAGTGTTGCTCGCGGTGTTGCTCGGAGCGTCACCTGCATCACCACCAGCATTAGTAGTAGCAGAATCACCAGAAGTGGTACTCCTACCAGTAGTAGAAGCAGCAGTAGAATCACCACTAACAGAAACCCCAGCCCAATCGACAATCCCACCCGCCCAGAAAAGGCCAATCCCCACAGGCGAAAAAGGCAGTCGCCTCGTCGGGTGAGCACATACCACCTTTATCCTTTCTAAAGGCAGTCCCCGACTACAATCCAGCCAAGCGGCGGATGCCGTCCGCGGAGACGGACACTCGTTTTCGAACCCGCCGTACTTGCTGGTCCAGGTGTGTGTGCCGTATCTTGGACCTCTGGGGGTGTATGATGTGGGTGGGGGCGATATGTCCCATGGGATGGTGTTTTCGCTTTCTGGGGTGTGGATGGGGAGGGTCGAGGGTGGTTCGTATTGAGCTGTGGGTCTGTCTGGGGAAGGATGGTTCGGGGAAGAGAAGGTGGTTGATATCCACTGCATTCTACCCTCCCTCCACGCCCCGTATAAGCCAGTGATGGATTGATGCTCCCCAGGAACAAAATAGTGCTTTCCCCCCACGCGCGACCCAACGGTAAGTTGTCGGTTATGGTTCGTTTGAACCGCCACGCCGTTGTTGGAGGAACCGTTGACTATGAGCGCCGTGATGCGTTCTCCGGAGGGTCCATCTATAGGCATGGTTTTGAGTGCTGTGAGGCGCGGACCGATGCTTTTCGGAGGTTGGTTGGAGTACTGGATTTGGATTCCGCCGAGGGAGATGTCCACTGAGAGGGCTGTTATAGAGGCGAGGTCTGTTTCTGTTAGACCGAAGGTAAGACATTCCATGGGTGTGAGAGATGGGTCGAGATTATCAGGCCAGAACCCTGGCTGGCGCTCTGTGATGAGGTGCGTTGGTGGTGGGAGCGCTTTCCATAGCTTGGAGGTGATGGTCGTGTGTGCGTGGGGATGGTGGGATTGCGACTGGGAGAGAGTGCGCGCGGGGGTATCCTGAGGGTGAGGGCGCGCTTGGAGGAGGGAGAGTGCGGTTATCCCGCATTCGTCGCTGTATTGCGCTGTCAAGCCCACAAAGAGATAGTCGCCTTCAGCGTGGAGGAGTCGCTTGTCGCCTGTTGTGTTGCCTAGATGGAGTGTGTCCCCATGTAGGAAGAGGACCTGGAGACCGGTGACACTGCGGTATGGCTCTCCATTGGTGTCGATGCGCGAGGTTATGATGAAGCCCCGGATCCAGTCGTCGGCGGCGATGCGCACTTCGTTGCGGGTGAGACAGTGGGCTGTCGCCCCGACTGTCTCGATCGTTTCTCTCTCCTGGGAATTGATATAGCGGGTTTCGAAGCCCGCGAGCGTACCCGTGCGGGACCAGCACACCGTCAAGGCAGGACGCGGACCGCAAAACCCATCCATCTCATCGACTAACAGCAAATACCCCATCCGGGGAGCCAGCACCCGCGGCAGACGCAGCGGGCGCATCGGCGATGCGACGAGGTCGTCCAGAATCGGCGGGCGAGGTTGTCTTGGCTTTTCAGCCCGCTTTGCCATCGCGTAGGGTTGTGCTATCTGCGCGCAGATTCCCCAGATACGTCGCCTGTTGACGAGACCGCGCATTTGAAAGGGAAAGTCATCTTGGCTTCGTAGATAGAGGTCTTGGTACATGCGTGCCCAGTCGAGTTGACCGCCACTGGCGGGTAGATTGGTGGGGAGATCGTATGGCCAGGGCATGTCGTGGCGGAGCTTGCTCACCCAGAAGTCGTTGCTGAGTTTTGTATGTGCAACTGCCGGACTCGCTATGCGGAGATGTGCTACAGATGATATCGGCAGGGGATATAGAATGGAGTGCAGGACCTTCGTCGGCAGGCCGGCGAACGGATCTGAGGTCGGTTTGCGCACAGCGGACTTTTCCCCTCCTTCGTCGCCAGAGTCGGCTCCCTGAAGTAAAGGCATTTCAACATAATACCCCCGCAACTCAGGAATATCCGTCGGATCCCAAGTGTACGTCTCGTATCCCTGACGTGGCCACCACCAGCCTCCGCGGTGTGCTCGTGCGGCCCCGCCGTAGTCAATGCCAGGAAGGACTTTGGCGGCCTGGATTTCTGGATGGGAGGCGGCTATACCACGGAGAACTCCATACAAGATATCAAGATCGATGGGCTGTGCGCCACTGTAGAATGCGATAGCCTTCTCCAAGACATGGTAGCATGCGCGGTGGTAGGGGATGATGTAGCCGTTGACGGTCCATTCGTATCTATATGCGTGAGAAATTTTCTGACTGATCTGTAGATCAAGAGATAGGAGCATACACGCAAAGATCAGCCCGTCCATCATCTACATAGCGCACCTGTCCCCGCGCAGGGAAACGTGGATCCTCGCCTGGATCAACGTCGAAGCTGTTCCCGACGGCGCATGCGGTTTGTGGGCCGGACACGTATACTCTTTGGTAATCATTAGCACACTGTACAGCTTTTTTGACTTCTAGAAGGAGGACATACTTATTCAAAGTTAGGGAGTCCAGATTCTCCCCTATCACCTGCATCTCGTTCAGCCATGGTGGCTCTTCCTCTCCTGCTGGGAGCTGGGACCGACGGTAGTCGTAGGAGGCGTCTTCGAGGTAGAGGTCGTGGAGGATGAAGCCGCAGAGGGAGCAGTAGACTTCGTAGTCGCCCATTTTATTACTGGATAGTTACTGGATGGTTGTGTATGGTTGAGAGGGGGTAGGTTTGTTTACTGCTTATGAAGTGTACGGTCCACTTGGTGCGTCATCTGGTTGTGGTTAGTGCGTCGTAGCTAAGGATTATGCTATGGACTTATTGTTTGATGGCATTATTTTAGATTATACGATATATTCATCTAATATACTTTTATATCGATAATAAGAATAAGAATATCAGGATAGAAGAATAGAAGGATATATGATCTATAACTGCCAAGGCCTTAATAACTCCCTATTCGGCAGTAACGGCGAATTCCTGGCTTTGGTATAGCGTACCTGATTGAGAAAAGCGGCATGATGCGTGATCTATACGGATGGCCTCATCTCCTTGCCTGTTTACCTTTTCTTATTACTTCCTATCCCTTAGTACTGTGTCAACTCTGATCAACTTCAACTATCTTTACTATTAGGCTGGTCTCTCCGTGCTCCATACTTCGCCACCCCCTTTTACTGCAGTGCTGAACTGAAGCCAAACTGGATTCTGTCCGTTGCTTCACCAGTATAAAACAGGCACTACTAGTCTATAGACATAGATTCATGCAGTGCTGCATGCCTATTCAAAAGTATCTACCAATATATTATTAGTTCAAAGTTCTGAATGCCTAGATAAGATGATCTATCTTCATTTATCTTATACTAATTAGCAAATTATGACGATAAGACACCGAGCATTTTCTCTTAGTAAATTCAAAATATGTATCTAATATGTACTTGATTATTCTAGGCGGACTACACATTTCTTGTTCAACCCACGGCAGCCTTAGTATATACACACATGACTGCTCAGTAAGTAATTCATGGCATACGTCGAGCACATCACCGCTCCTTGGGCTATGGTCCCCTTCCTCACCATGATATCCCTGCCAGAGGTAGAATTCCAAGGAGCTAGAATGTAAATAAGGAATCTCTTGGACTTCGCATAGTTTGCCTTCATATAGCCTTCCTAAGAATGTCTCGACCACTCAAATGTTCCGTGGCCATTTGCTATGGCGGCGAGAATGAGGCATAAGCCCTGCTACATGGGCTTGATAGATCGCAATCAAGCAGAGTATTGTGCTGCGTCAGGAGATGATAGAGACTTACCCAATGCGCATCGTAGTCTTCCCGCGAAAGGACCTCGCTTCCACAATGGCCACAGTGTGCATTAGCGAAATATATTCAGGTACTTCGTCAAAGTGTGTTTCTACCGCTTCTCTTGGAAAGTCCGCCACAGGCCCGCATAATAACGAGTGGCACATAGTAATCATGTTCAGCTTGCCCCGCCAACGCTATTCAACTCGATGGGTAGCTCAGTAGCTTTGAAACCTTATTGTCTGATTATCAGTACCTTTTCAGGACATTGCTGATTTGTCTCGCAGGGAGCTTCATTTTCGGTGGGTGAGGCATGTACATTCCTGTTGGTAATGTAGAAAGCCCCTTACCACAGAAAATGCCAGGGCGAGATTCCTTGCTTAGTTCAGTAATGATAGTAATTTCAAGTCCAGATGGAAGGTATATTTAACATACTGCGAGTCGGCACTGGATAGTGCTCGCTGAGTCTCAATTCAGGACAGTATCATCTCTATCTGCTGCTCAAATCATCAGTCTCATACTTGATGATTATATATCATGAGTCGATTGACAGGTATTCTTGCTTTTAGCTCGGCCGTACTAGCTGTGCAGGCCCAGGAAACATGCGAAAGGACCAAGGTTGCTGTGCTGTACGAACAACCCTTTACATGATGCATCTTTGGGTCGAACGTGGACTGACAATCTGCAGGGGAGCAGGTGTGGCTGGAGTGGAAGCTGCAGTAAGTTTGCCTCTACCCTGCCCTACGCCCTCACCACTCCCGTATATCCACATCTTGGATGCTGATAAGTGCACAACAGAAATCGCTTTCGGATAATGGGGTTGACGACTTTCTCCTGGTTGAATACCAAGATCGCATTGGTGGGCGGATGCATGATGTCCCCTTCGGTAGCGGACCACACGGCCATCCGTATGTCGTCGAAGCAGGGGCGAACTGGGTAGGCTTTTGATATGCCCGCTGGAAGCCCGTTTAGTATCTTACGGACATCAGGTGCAAGGAACTGTCACGGGTGATGGCCCTGAAAATCCCATCCACACTCTGGTGATTCACTCCAGGCGGATATTTTCATTGCGTGCAGCTGACAACGTTTGATAGGCCAAGAAGTACAAAGTTATAACCCTGTATGATGAGACCCAAGGTGATAAGATATGAGTACGGATTGCTAACGACTTGTACAGGGAAACGGACCAGGATAACACGACCTATTATGATCCGACCGGTCCGGTGGATTATTCTTATGCGAAACGCGAATATGAAGAGGCCTTAGGGAGAGTTACCGTTGATGCAGGATCTCTCTTGCAGAACAATATCCAGGACCGGTCCTTCCGTGCCGGATTGCGACTGCAGGGCTGGGACCCGGCCAAGGATGATTCTTACCGACAGACTGCCGAATGGTGGTTGTTCGATGGCGAGTTTGCTTACACTCCTAGTGAGAGCTCTCAGATCTATACCTCGGTGGCCGAAAACGCGACCTTCAACTATTTCTCCGAGGAGAATCTTTTCGTATATGACCAGCGTGGGTTTGCGAATATCATCCGGGGGGAAGCGGCGGAATTTCTGGCGCACGACGACAGGCGTTTACGTCTAAGCACGCAGGTCACCGGCGTCGACTACAATCGGGACTCTGTCACTGTCCGGACGAATCGAGGTTGCATTCATGCCGATTACGCGATCATGACCTTCTCGCTGGGCGTTCTCCAGAAGGGCGTGGTGGACTTTGTTCCGCAGCTCCCTTCCTGGAAGAAAACTGCTATCCATAGCTTCGAGCTGGGAACGTACACCAAGATCTTCATGCAATTCCCGTGGCGTTTCTGGGAAAATGCGCAGTACCTCATCTATGCCGACCCGGAGACTCGAGGCTACTATCCCGAGTTCCAACCCCTCGACCTTCCGGGTGTGTTGGAGGGATCAGGTCTCATGGTCGCGACGGTCGTCGATGACCAGTCTTACCGAGTCGAGTCGCAGTCTTTCGAACAAACCCAGGCTGAAGTCATGGAAGTTCTACGAAGCATGTACGGACCGGCGATCCCCGACCCGACCCATCTTTGGTACAAGCGGTGGGGACAAACTCCTTGGTAGGTTGAAGTTGTTTCTGCGTCCCATCTCCCAGAATCATCACTAACAGCCCCAGGGCGTATGGATCCTACTCGAACTGGCCTCCATCCACCAGTCTGCAAGGGCACCAGAATCTGCGTGCGAACGTCGGAAATCTGTTCTTCGCCGGCGAGGCGACCAGCCAGGAATTCTTCGGTTATCTACAGGGCGCCTACTTTGAAGGCAAGCATGTCGGCACGTTCATCTCTGATTGCGTGCGGAAGACTGGAAATTGCACCGTCACGGACGAGCAGCAGAAATATCCTGTTTTGACGGGGGTGACCCCGTACAACCTGTATAATGAGGAGCATGGATGGTTTGTGGATACGGTTTCCTGATACATTCGTACCTGATTGTACGAAGTATCTGATCAGGGCACTCAGGTACTTGAATGTGTACTGCGAGTAGACCCTGGGGTTTATTGTTGGTCAAGGTGACCGGTGTAATGTGTTGATGTATTCATACCTGATGAGTAGCACTCATCAGGTACGAGGATTCTCTATGGTTTTTTCTTGTCGGAGGTCAGGATAGCTTCATGATTTATAGGATATAATAATATCATCATTTTGTCTCCCGTTGACAGTGCTTTATTCTTTCTCTAATATAATCTATAGCTCTTTGAATTCTTTGCTGTTGACTATGGTATATTACAGGATAGATTATATTGTACTTGATCTCTTCTAGTATAGGTTTACCAGTCAGTCTATATAGTCGAATGGATCTAGACTAGACAGAAAGTACACGAGCAGTATGTTACCAGGGCTTTCGTCTGCAGAGAGAAGAAGACTAAATAGATAATATACTTGTAGACACTGGTATCTGGAGATAGTCTTTATTGCACGGATAAACATATGATATTTGTGAGAAGAGGCTTCTTATAACAAGATAAGATTGAATAACCGGACTTACCTCTAGTTGAATAAACGAGCCCGTTTTAAAAGCGCAAAAAAAGTTTTTATTTATCATAGAAAAGGGTCCTAGAAAAGCTGGGTACGACCCTAAAACCACCAATGACTCCATACAGACACTATCAATCCGTGGATCCCCGATAACGATAAGATAAAAATTTCCCTCTTTCAACCACCACCACCATCAATCATCCTACACAACACCATGTCTTTGAATGTCATCGCCCTCATCTCAGGGGGCAAAGACTCCCTCTACTCCATCCTCCACTGCATCCGCAACGGCCACAACGTCGTCGCCCTCGCCAACCTCCACCCCGCACCCTCCCACAATGCCCCTCACACCTCCCAATCCGGCGACCAAGAACAAGAACAAGAGGAAGAAGACATAGATAGCTTCATGTACCAAACCATCGGCCACAGCATCATCCCCCTTTACGAGAAAGCTCTCTCCATCCCTCTTTACCGTGGCGCCATCGCCGGTTCCGCAGTCGACACATCGCGCATCTACCGTTCAAACGACCCCACCCCCACCGACTCAAACCAAACCGCCGACTCAAACGAAGACGAAACCGAATCCCTCATCCCCCTCCTAAAGCGCATCCTCCAAGCCCACCCAGAAACTAACGCCGTCTGCGCCGGCGCCATCCTCTCCACCTACCAGCGCACGCGCATCGAAGACGTCGCCGCCCGTCTGCGTCTAACTCCGCTCGCCTGGCTATGGATGTACCCGTCTTTGCCGGGGGCAGATCTCTTGGCAGATATGGCAGCCGTGGGGTGCGAGGCGCGCATAGTGAAGGTCGCGTCGGGGGGCCTAGACGAAGGGTTCTTGTGGGGTGATGTTGCGGATGGGATGGGGAAGACGCGGCGGTCGTTGGAGCGCGTTATGGGGAGGTTTGTCGGGGGAAAGGAGTGGAAGGGGGGGAGGATTGATGTGCAAGGTGTGGAGGTGGGTGTTGGGGAGGGGGGTGTTGCGTTTTTGAGGCTGAGGGGGGCGAGGGTTGTTGAGAGGGGGGAAGGCGAGGAGGATGGGGTTGAGCCGGGGGATGTGAGGAGGCCGGATTTGTTGGATGCGCCGTTTGAGGCTGTGTTGGGAGGGTTGGAGGGTGATTGGGAGAAGGGGTTCGCGGAGGAGGAGGAGGAGGGAGTGGTTGGCACCATGGCGGTGCCGGAGGTCTCCCAGGCGAAGGACGGCTCGACATGGTCGGTTTCCAACATCACTGCGCCCGAGGCTGGTCCTGGCGCCGGCGAGCAGATGGACGCGATCGCGAGGAAGATACGAGCGCTACTAGGCGAGACGAGAACCCCCTCGGATATCGTCTTCACAACCGTCCTGCTGCGCGACATGGCCGACTTCCCCGGCATGAACGCCGTCTACAACTCCCTGTTCGACAAGCCCAACCCCCCCGCGAGAGCTACGGTCGCGTGCGGAGACCGACTACCAGACGATGTCCAGGTCATGGTGTCGCTGGTGGTGGACCTGGGCGCGAGAGATCTACGACTGGGCCTCCATGTGCAGTCGCGGTCGTACTGGGCTCCGGCGAACATCGGCCCATACTCGCAGGCCCTGTCCATCCCGCTACACGGCGCAGAGCGCCTCGTCTACATCGCCGGCCAGATCCCGCTGGAGCCGGCGTCTATGGAACTGGCTGGGTTGGAGAAGCCCTGGGCCGAGGGGTACGCCCTACGGACTGTGTTGTCGCTGCAGCATCTGTGGCGCATTGGGGCGGCCGTGCAGGCGACCTGGTGGTTGGGAACGGTGGCTTTCGTGACCGGGAGCGAGAACATCGAAACCAAGGTGAAGATGGCATGGCGGTCGTGGGCCGCCATGCACCGTCCGCCATGCGACGACGACGCGGACGAGGAAGAGCCGACGCTGGACGCGTGGGACATCAAGTATGGCCGTCGAGCGCCCGAGCAATTGGAGACCGAAGACCCTACGCTTCCCGACTTCACGCTTGTCGAGTCGGACGTCCTGGTTCCGCCGTTCCTCGCCGTCCAGGTCGAGCAACTGCCGCGCGGGAGTGACATTGAATGGCAGGGTCTGGGCTGCCAGTGCGCCGGCTTGAAGTTGGCCGCTCAGGACCGCGACCATGGACGCCAGACCGACACGACCACGTCCCACGGTCTGCGCTACACGGGGATCGAGATCGACCACGGCGCGGAGCTAGAGAAATGTCTGCAAGGGGTACTGGCAGCCTTCTCCGAATCCGACGGCCAACACGCTGTCCTCTATACCTCGCAGCCGGTGTCGTCCACCTGGCCGGGGCAGATTGTGCCTTGTCGGACCGTCTGGGGCCAGCACGGACGGAGACTGGCGGCGGGGATCTTCTTCCAGCGACACATTGCCACTCGCTAAGGAAAATATACCCCCCTTGTATATAGTGACCCGTTCGAACGCCTGGACTCTGATCCAGGGAGGCGAAGTCTATTATTGGCATGGATGGTCTGATATGAGCCAAGATCGGTCCCGAGAACGTGCAGTAGGATATCATGACCAGCACGATGATTCGTGGGGAGTGATCCAGCAGTCGCCATCATTGCCATCTGTGCACGCAGTCCATCATAGACATTTTACGTTAGTTCAACTTATATTAGAATCAGTCAATCATGGTGGAGATAAAACAAACCGATCAACGGTCTGATCCTGTTGGAGGACATGTGATTCCCGCATCAGTCTTAGTCCGACTTGTTTCTCCCTCCAACTTCTCAACCACGAACCATTCGGTCTCTCGTCTCGACTTTTTGCTTCTGAAAAATTTACGGAAATCTACAAATCCCCAAGCACGTCGTGGTTAACTCATTATCCATCTAGACCAGTCTCACTATGTCCCTGGTCTAGTCTTATTAATCTATCGTCGGTCTGCTCACACGACCTCCGCTCCTCTCCGATCCCCTCTCGAATCCCCTCCCGTTTCGTCGACATGACGTACTCGTCTTAACCCTCCGATCCGTCACACATTCATGGGGTTATGGCCTCTTCACAAAGCCAGGAGGAAGAAAGGTCGCGACACTCGCCAGACCCAGGCCTCACCGTTCCAGATCCCCTCCGACGGTTGTCCCGGTCGCCGCACCCGTACCATCGCCAGGGCGGCCAGTGCCTGGATCCCCAGCCGACCGACCGCCGGACATCCCTCTATACCTCCAAGACCTCTAGTGATAGTGGTACAGAGGCCGACGATGAGAGCACCGGCTTACTTCGGGGCCTACCCGCGCCGCCCCTGCGACCGCGCAAAGGACTCCGCGCGGTCGGCGACTACCCCCACGACTCGTGGCTCCCCGTCCTGACGCGGTCCACCTCGCGGAGCTCGCGGAGCTCGCGTCGGAGCTCCAGCGAGGAGGCGGAATTGGAGGCCTGCGAGCTGCGAGAAAAGGAGTCCCGAAAACGACGACTGGAGATTCTACGGAGGTTACTGGAAACCGCCCTGCTGTTGTCGGTGGGGGCGGTGGTGCTGCGCCCGGAGAGCGTGAGGGCTGTGGCTTGGGCGTGGAGGAAAGGTATGCTTGGATGCGTGTGCGCGATACTGGAAGGATGATTTGCTGATTGATGCGGTGTGGTTAGAGCTCCTGGCGTATGTGCTTACGGTCGTCGGGCTGTATGCGGCTTATCCCCTGAGGCGGGGAGGCCGTCTACGACTGTCTAAACTCTCGAGCTTCGCGATCCCGTCCAGTTTCGATCCCGCCCCGCTGCTCTACCCCGTTATCCTTCCGGTCTACGTGGCGCTCTCCCTGTCGCATCGGGACCTACCGCTGGTGCTGCCCAATATTCTCCTGAGCCTGGCGTCCCTGCCGACGCCCGTCGTGCCGCTGCATGAGTGGTTCCACGGCGGGAGCGTAGCCCATTGGATGGTGACGCTGGCCCCGGTGCTCGTCTCGGAGCAGTGGTCGGCCGACCACACGACTCCCACCCCCCTCTCGCTTCGCGGCCTCAGTGCCGAGCAGTTGACTCTTCTTTTCCCGTTACATCAAGCGTTGATACCCACTCTAGATTTCTTGTTGACGACTAGTGTCCTTCCCGCGGAGCTGCAGCTGCTGACGGCTGCGCTGATAAATTTGTTTCTATACGCCGCCTCCCCGCAGGCGGAGATCCTCAAGGCCCTCCTGTGGCTGGGCGGCCTGTGTCTGCTGGTCTCGTGTCGCCAGGTGCTCCGCTGGGAGGTGGCCCTGGCCCGGATCCCCACCTGGAAGTTCCGTCGGGCCCCGAGCGGCGCGCAGTCGCCCAAGGGCCTCCTCAACGCCATCGACCACAGACTGTGCCAGAGGCTGAGTCGCGCGGGGTCGTCGGAAGACCCCATGTCGGACAGCGACAGCCTCGAGGGTCGCAAGCTGGTCCCCCGCCGGACCATGCACGACTACCGCACGAAGACCCGTGCCCCTGAGCCACTGGTGCACAACGGCGTCGCCAACGGAGCGACCCCCAAGCGACCCCGGGTGACGTCGCGCCGCCACACCATCGCGAGCGTCGACGACGCGCGCGTCCGCACCACCCCCAGCGGCCGACGCAAACGCTCCATGGCCCCGGGGCTGGCGTCATTTCTCGCCCTGACGGTGCCGCAGGCGCAGGTGCGTCGATGGCTCTACGCGCTCTACGCCTACGCCGCGGCGGTCGTCACCATCATGGGCCCCGTCCGCCGGTACGTGGGGCAGCGTGCCCTGTCAGGCGCAGAGCCCTTCGGCTGGGCGATCGGCTACCTGTTCGGGAACATCTCCGGCGTGCGGTTCTGGACCCTCATGTGGAATCTAGACCACTGGGTCGCCCTGCCAGCGCGCCCGGACCTGGACGGCAGCACCTGCGCCCTGGGCTGGGTAGAGCGCCTGCGGCAGACGACCTTCGGCGAGGCCAACACGCGCCTTCTGATCGCAGCCTACTGCGTGGTCGTCATCCTCGCCGGCCTCGCCGTAGTGCTGCAGCTCAGCGCGGTGGCGGAAGTCGACACGCGACGCAAGGTCTTCCACGGCATGATGGTGCTGATGTTCCTGCCAACGGTGTACATCGACCCGGCGTTCTGCGCGCTGGCGCTCGCCCTCGTCCTGACCGTCTTCCTGCTGCTGGACCTGTTCCGCGCGTCGCAGCTCCCGCCCATCTCCCGGCCGCTGACTTACTTCCTCGCGCCGTACGTCGACGGACGCGACCACCGCGGACCCGTCATCGTGTCGCACATCTTCCTCCTGATCGGGTGCTCGATCCCGCTCTGGCTCTCGCTGGCCGACCTGCCGCGGACGGGCGATCTGCCGTGGTCAGGCTGGGAGGTCGTGTCCCGGGACGTCAGCATGGTCAGTGGGATCGTGTGCGTGGGGATGGGCGACGCGGCGGCGTCGCTCGTCGGCCGGCGCATCGGTCGGCTGAAGTGGTTCTGGGGCGGGGGGAAGTCCCTCGAAGGCAGTCTGGCTTTTGCCGCTGCGGTGACGGTTGGGCTGCTGGCTGCGCGGGCGTGGCTCGCCGTCGGCGACTGGTCTGTCTCCGGAGCGGAGACGTCCACCGTCTGCTGGCCGATAGCGGTGCTGCAGGCGGTCTTGGCGGCGGGCGGGACGAGCGCGACGGAAGCGATCCTGACGGGGTGTAACGATAACGTGGTGGTGCCGATTGTGCTGTGGCTGTTGGTGCGAGGGTTGGGATTATGATTGGTCTAGTACTAGGTATCTTACTACCTACTAGGTAGGTAGGTAGGTACTAGGGCTACCTGGGTACCTAATCTGCAGCGACTCACCAGTCAGGTTGATTTCTGTTCATGATATCCTTGTTCTTGCTTTAGCGGCTGAGGATTGGTTGTGCTGTGTTTCCCATATTATGTTCATTTCTATCACTATTCCTATATCCCCTGTTTATTATTCCTCCTCTCATGTCCTCCCCCCCTATATCTTTTTTTTTTCTCTTTTCTATTCTATTGATTTTCATTGTTTTTCTTTGTATATCCTACACATTGATGTATTGATGTATGGAGTGGCTCTACGACCACCTACGACGAGACGAGACGTGAGACACGAGAGCACATGATAGACTGATACACTGGAGTGACATAGATAGAACCATCGTATAATTTGATCCGTTCTACTCCGTCGTAATCTAGTTTGTCGTAGTAGGTAGACGGTAGTGCCTAGGTACCTAGGTAGGTACCTAAAGGTACAAGTTACCCAGTACTATCCAGTAGGCACAGAAGGTACTAAGCAGTACCAGCATCAGGATCGCCACTCAGGCTTATCAGTCGATCCAGTGACTAGTAGCCTTAGTGGCAAGGTCACCTGGTCTCTTTTACGGTAAGATTGGTATGATAACACCTACAGTAGATACATACTCCGTCAGTTAATTACTCATACGTCTACTGATTATATCATAAGCATTCTATCATTTACCTACCTACCTAAGCATCTCTTCAAATATGTGCCCCTCTCCCTTCAAAGGTCAGAAGAAGAATGAGTGACGTCTATATGAAATGACATGATCACGGTGGCGCGGCAGGTCACGTACGGTATTAGGCTGACATAACCAGGCACTTCTGCTGTAGAGATGGTGATTGGGTGGTTGATGCCTGGCTCCACCGCCTTATCTCTCCGCATTTGCGAGATGGATGCGGTGTTGTTCTGTTGCTGGACCGTTGCTGAAGAGAAGATATTGGGGTTGGGGGTATTATATAGTTGATTATTGTGTTATAAGTATGATTCTATTCTATTCTATTCTATAATAATCATCGACTATGGTATTGTTGTATGGGTGTATATTGATATTTATAGACAGACCCGCTGACCGCCTAATCATCACGATCGTTATCGGCGGTCACATTACCTTCGAATCCGATCCTTGGTTGTTGCTTTCAACTCCTATCACATCATCTTGCCTCTTCTCTTCTTTCTCTCTACTCTACTTTATTCCACTTTGCTTGACTATACTTTCCTTTACGCTCCACTCGACTCGACTATACTCTCCTCTAGTCGACTCTACTACACTATCCACTCTCCACTTTTCTACTATCACGTCCTACCTCTACTGCTCCATCTACTACACCATCTACTGCAGCGTCTACTGCTCGGTCTACTCCATCGTCACCCTATCATCTCCACTTTCAGCAAAGTCTATCATCGCCTTAGACTGACGCCTCGACAGTAACTCTAAGTTACTTCCATCTCACCCAGAACGGACGACATTGTCCTCGCTTGAGTCATATCTCAGCCTGACCGGATCCACCCTTCCTCCTCCATCCTTCGCATACAATCACATCACCTCGTTCACTCATTGATCGACCCGCTTCTGTCTTCCTCCACCATCACTCGATTTACACCCCTATGGGCTCATCCGTCTCCCTCTTGTCGCTTCTGCTGTTGAGGTAGTTGTGTGGAGACGGGGGCGTTCGTTGGTTCCGGATCTCCCTCTCGGACACCGCCCACGCCCTGCTGCTGTCATGTCGTCGGCACATCCCTCGAGGAGGTCCAAGGACTCCTCCCGGACCGAGTTGGCCATTGGCCGCTACACCAGACTGGATGAGATCGGCCGCGGAAGCTTCGCCACGGTCTACCAAGGCGTACATACCGTGAGTCCCGACACTCCCCCGAAGCCTCGTCCATCGGATTCGCAACTGACTGCTGGCTTGTCGCAGAAAACACGGACCTACGTCGCCATCAAATCCGTCAACCTATCCAAGCTCAATAAGAAACTGAGGGAGAACCTCTCCTCCGAGATTCACATCCTCAAAGGTCTCTACCATCCCCATATCGTCGCCCTCATCGACTGCCATGAGACCACTTCCCACATCCACCTCGTCATGGAATATTGCGCCCTCGGCGACCTGTCCCTCTTCATCAAGCGCCGAGATACCCTGGGCGACCATCGCTACACCCGGGACATGATCGCCAAGTACCCCAACCCCAAAGGGGGCGCCCTCAACGAGGTCATCGTCCGCCACTTTCTCAAACAACTGGCCAGTGCCCTCAAGTTCTTGAGGGATCGACATCTCATCCATCGCGATATCAAGCCCCAGAACCTACTTCTCTGCCCGTCGCCGTCCTCCTATAAGCACGGGAAGCCGCAGGTCGTCCCCTTCAAGGGCAGCGAGGACTCGTACAAGCCCACCACGGGCTTGGAGTCCCTCCCCATGCTGAAGATCGCTGACTTTGGCTTCGCCCGTTCGCTTCCCGCCACCTCCCTCGCCGAGACCCTCTGCGGCTCGCCCCTCTACATGGCCCCCGAGATCCTCCGATACGAAAAGTACGACGCCAAGGCGGATCTCTGGTCCGTCGGAACCGTGCTCTACGAGATGGTCGTCGGCAAGCCGCCCTTCCGCGCCGCGAACCACGTTGAGCTGCTGCACCGCATCGAGAAGGGCGAGGACCGCATCAAATTCCCCGAGGAGAACCCCATCTCGAGCGAGATCAAGGCCCTGATCCGCTCGCTCCTCAAGCAGAACCCCGTCGAGCGGTTGAACTTTGGGGACTTCTTCTTGAATCCCATCCTCGAGGAGCCCATTCCGGGCATTGTTTCGGACGACACGTCCAACGTGCCCGCCCAGGTCTCGACCGCCGCCGAGCAGGGCGAGCCAGCCTCTCGGCCTCGGACGGCTACCCCCGTCAGTTCGAGGCGCGAAAAAGAGGCGGCAGCGTATGCGGAGAGACGGGATGAGTCCACTGGATATCCGTCCCGGCGGCATAGCACGCAGCAAGCCCGCGTGGGGACCCCGCCCGCATCGGCGCCGATGCGCAGGGTTGGGAGTGCCGACCGCCCCGTCTCCAAGGAGGCTGCGCCCTCCACGCCGCCGCAGCGCCCGGGTCCAGTCGCCATGGCCACCGCCCCGGGACGCCAGGAGTTCACGGATCGGCACGCGGCGGCCACCGCCGTGGAGCGCCAACGGAGTCGCAAGACGTACGGGACATCCGCGCCGGCCGACCAGCCCACCGACCCGTCCCAGGCGCAGCGGGAGTGGGCGGCCCAGGAAGTCGCTTTTGAACGCGACTACGTCGTGGTCGAGAAGCGGGCCGTCGAGGTGAATGCCTTCGCCGACGAGCTGGCCCATAACCCGCGTATCCACGGTGCGTATCCCCGCGGGGGACAGACGGGGGGTGGTGCTCTACCTCGCCGGTCCACCACACAAGGCACGTCGGCGCCCGTGTCGACCTCGCCGCAGGGCGCGACCCCCGGAAAAGCCATGCAGGTGGTCCCGGGACGGTCGCGGGTCGATTCGACGCACGTGCGGCAGAACTCGTACGAGCGGCGGTACGCGCCGAGCCCGACGTCGGCCATCTCCAAGGCGCTCAACATGGCCAGCGGCCGGCTGTTCGGCGTGGGGTTCTCGCCGCCGATGGCCATCTCCAAAGGGGGGCGGTCGCCCCCGCTGGCGTACAATCCGTTCCCGGCGTACCCGTCCGCCCCCGCGCAAATGATGCTCGTGGGCGATTCGTCGCCCAAGGCGACGCCGGTCCTGGACGAGGAGGCCAAGATCGTGCAGGCGATCGAGGAGTGCGCCACCCGCAGTGACGTCGTGTACGGGTTCGCCGAGGTCAAGTACAAGCAGCTCATTCCGCTGGCGCCGTCGATGCAGCCGCCCGACTCGCGGGGCAAAGCCACCGATCGGGACGCGGGCGACTCGACGGACGGGGACCTTACGGTGGACGCGGTGGTGACGCTGTCCGAGGAAGCGCTGGTTCTCTACGTCAAGGCGCTGTCGCTGTTGGCCAAATCGATGGATATCGCGGGGGCGTGGTGGAGCCGCAAGAACCGGGGCGACCCCTTTGGCGACGCGGCGGCCACCCGCAACGACACCAGTAGCGCCGTGGTGGGCAACCGCATCAACAACGTGGTGCAGTGGGTGCGCTCGCGGTTCAACGAGGTGCTCGAGAAGGCGGAGTTCGTGCGGTTGAAGCTGCTCGAGGGCCAGCGACGGCTGCCACCCGACCACCCGAACCACCCTGGCAACCTGTCGGTCGACTCGACGATGGCCTCAGGGGGGTCGATGGACGTGGTGGTGAGCCCGGGGGTGACGGCCGAGAAGCTGATGTACGACCGGGCGTTGGAGATGAGCCGGGCGGCAGCCATCAACGAGCTCACGAGCGAGGACCTAACAGGGTGCGAGATTGCCTACGTGACGGCGATCCGGATGCTAGAAGCGGTGCTCGACGAGGAAGACGATGCGCGGCCGACCAAGGGCGATCGCCGGCCTGATGAGGGAGCGACGGAAGACCGCCAGGTGGTTATTAAACGTATGTCCCTATCTATTCATTTCCTATACAAACAAACCCGCTCACAGTGTTTAGTGGTGTCTAGCATCCGATCGCGATTGGCATCCCTTCGGAAGAAGCTCGCCGTGTTGGCCAAACGACATACGCCGCCGAGCGGGCCGAGCAAGGGGCTGGTGTCACATACGGCCGCTGCATCCCCGGCCGGGATCCCGTCTCGATAGATGGCTGCCGTCCCCGATTAGAGTTACCTTCAATTTATCATCAACAGCATGCGGGACCGTGCTGCGCTGATGTCTGTCTTTTGGGTTTGCTTTCGACTATATGTAATGACGATGCTTTTATTTGCTTGCTGTTTTTTGTTTTTTTCTTTTTGGACTACGAGATATACGCCGGACAGGATGCATTGTTCATTTGGCGTTAGTGGGGGGGTACAGACTGCCAGCCAGGTTGGATATGACTGATGACTTGGGTCATCCGGCGTTAGGTTTTGACTTGAACCGTCTGATGTGGTTGACTGCTGATGCGCGTGGGATTGTATAGTACACAATCCATTATACATCTCCCTACTACATTTACATATCGGTGACGACTAGACCTAACCCAGTGGGTCTGTCTTCTACAAGCTACAACAGCCACCCCAACGGAGCCCTCTATAGAACTCACACAATGTCAACATTAAACCAGCGATGGCGTGATTGATTTCTGTGTGTCATGGGCCATCGGGGACTCGGGCAGACTCTGGGTCAAGTGGAGACCCGACGGAGCCAAGACCGCGCCTTTTGCCATTATCGCTTCGGGCCCTGAGAAGAGAATTCTGCATGGGGATTATCATTGGCTGAGGGATTTTAGATGGTGGGTATATACCGGTAGACAGATGGATAGGATCTCTGATGGCGAATTTGGCTGTCACTGTCGGCGGAGCTTGCTGAGCAATCTTTTTTTCTTTCGTGTTTGTCATTCATTCTTTATTCTTCGTTGACTTTGTCGGAGTTCAATATTGTCGAGTATAGACTGTGGTAGTCATCTCTGGCTACTATATACTCACTGAAGACGCGATCGCATCGTTTGCGTCTATCTACACGTCACTATAGACTGGGATTGGATTGCATCAAAACTCACCCTAGCACACCATACACCACACCATCCCCGCTACGACTCTATAGCGGTATATAACTCATTCGGAAACACCTACCGAAGCCCACCTACCGAGTCTATACATCTACACATCCATACAGAGACACGATCCCTATAGGAATACAGGAAACGAAAATGACCGACGCGGTCACCGAATCCGCCTACCAAAAGGGTCTTATACCCGACGCGAAGCCAGTCGATGACGCCCCGCGACGGACGGACGGTGTTTCTCAGCTCTGTATGCTTCCCTCTCTTTATCACCTGTTTTATCAGACAGCACCGACTACCAGGGACGGCACCGATTCTACGAACAAAGCTAACTATTCCCAGACGAAGGAAATGTCTTCGACGCCACCCCCGACGACCGCCGCCAGATCGGCGTCATCAGCGCCTCGTTCCTCATCTTCAACCGCGTTATCGGCACAGGCATCTTCGCTACCCCGAGTACCATCCTCTCGCTTTCAGGGAGTGTCGGCTTGTCGCTGATTATGTGGGTTGTGGGGACGTTCATCGCGATGGCTGGGACGGCCGTTTATCTCGAGTGGGGAACTGCTATTCCTAAGTACATCCTTCCCTCCCTTCCCTCTCCGGGGAAAATAGGACATGCATATTAATAAGAGTATAGAAATGGCGGCGAAAAGAACTACCTCGAATATGTCTTCAAAAAACCCCGCTTCCTCGCAACAGCCATGTTCGCCTCCTACGTGGTCCTCCTCGGCTGGGCAGCCAGCAACAGCGTCGTCTTCGGCGAATACATCCTCAACGCCGCCGACATCGAAGTCGGTCGATGGAACCAGCGCGGTATTGGCCTCGCGTGCGTGACAGCCGCGTTCCTCATCCACGCCACGGCCGTCAAGTGGGGTCTGCGGTTGCAGAACTTGCTGGGTGTGATCAAGCTCGTTATCATCGTGTTTGTTGCTGTCGCGGGCTGGGTTGCGCTTAGTGGGCGCATGCATATTGAGAATCCGCCGCATAATTTCCGCAATGCGTTTGAGGGGACTACTGGGAGTGGGTATGGGATTGTGATGGCTCTGTATAATGTCATTTGGTCGTTTATTGGGTACTCCAATGCGAACTATGTATGTCCCTCCCCCGACAGACAGTTTGAAGGGAAAAGAAGCTGACAGAAACAGGCCCTCAGCGAAACCAAGAACCCCACCCGCACGTTGAAGATCGCCGCTCCCCTCGCCATCGGCGCCGTCGGCGTTCTCTACATGCTCTGCAACATCGCGTACTTCGCGGCTGTGCCCAAGGCGCAGTTCCTGGAATCCGGACAGACCGTCGCGGCGACGTTCTTCGGGAACATGTTTGGCGCGCGCGCGGAGAAGGTGATGTCTGTTTTTGTGGCGCTCTCTGCGTTTGGAAATGTGTTGTCTGTGATTTTCTCGCAGGGACGAAGTATGTCTTCCTCAAGTCCTTGGGTGTTGTGGCTGCAACTAACGAGTTTATAGTCGTGCAAGAAATGGGCCGTGAAGGTATCCTTCCTTTCAGCAAGCTCTGGGCGAGCAACAAGCCGTTCAATGCCCCTGCGGCTGGACTGTTCGAGCACTGGGTTGTGTCCGTCATTATCATGCTTGCTCCTCCGCCGGGCGACGCCTACAACTTTCTCGTCAAGTATGTCCTTTTTTCCCTCTTCCTCCTGCACCTTCTCTCCCCAATAGACATCAAACTAACAATAATCAAGTCTCATCTCCTACCCCCTCTCGATTGTCAACTGCTTCGTCTCCGGCGGCCTCATCTACATCTACCTAACGCACAAAACCAACTTCCCCGACTGGGCGCCAGGAATCAAAGCCACGCTCCCGGTGACAATCTTCTTCTTCCTGTCCAACTGCTACCTCGTCGTCGCGCCGTACGTGCCGCCCACGCCAGACCAGAACGTCTACAAAGAGCTGCCGTACTACCTGCACTGCGTGGTGGCGGTGGCGATCTTTGCGCTGGGCGCGATCTACTGGGTCGGATGGGCAGTCGTGTTGCCGAAGCTGGGGGGGTATCTTTTGGTGAAGGAGACCGTTGTTGATGCGGATGGGTGGTCGCGGAGTGTGTTTACGAAGTTGCCGTTGGGAAGTGAGAGGGAGGTTGGGGATCAGGAGTAGATGGTAGATAGGGGGTGGAGGCCAGCTGGACTGGTCGGTTTGTTTGTTTGGATTGTTGATAGATTTGCGAATGTTGGATATATGTTGGGTACATAATTACTATTCTATTGAATATGGTATCATTCAATTACAAGACCAGAGTATACATCAGGTATTGAATCCGTCAAGTTCATACTAATATATAAGAAATAATATTTATAAGGGGAAAAAAAGATGTCCCAACGCTCTATGGATGCCCATTCAGATCATAATCATGGGCCCCTCAAACTGGCTGGTCACGGTCTGGCAAGCTCTTACCATACTATAAGATATAATATAAATAAGACAATGCAGCTGCCATAGACAAAAAAGTCCGACAGACGCAGGGGTGGCTTGCGTGAGAATGTATATGTATGGAGAAGGAAAGGAGAGGAGAGATTTCTGCAGAGAAAGAGATGGGAAGGGGAGGTCAGGTGATGGGGTTGCCCTAGCCCTAGATACTTGTCCGGGGTGTGTATGCCTGAGGTGTGTACATGTCTGGACTTGGTGCCTGGGGCCTGGAATATGACGTCATTGTTGGTCTTCTATACATCAGCGTCAACCCAGCTAAAGACAATTTCACTAGGCAGGACGGTCTCGTTTTGAGAACTGGACACCATACTGTCTGAGCTCCTCTCTTCTTCAAGAGTTACAAGAATCAGCTGACTTGGTGAGTCAGAACGATGTAATAGACATGGTCTAGATCATTATAGTTGGGTCTTATACCTACAGCCACTTGTAATCCTGCTGTAGAACTTGTATGGCTGAGTAGGTCTGGCCAGGATCATGCAGCTTTATATAACCCTAGAGCATCATCAACCAGCAGTGCTTACAGCGTTGCTTCAGGTGGATGGGGCGGATTCCAGGTGGGGTTGCCCCCATCCTGGCCGGTTGGGGGCTGCAGAATCCGTCTGGGACCGAACAGGGCCAAATGGCTGATTTAATATAACATGGATATATGAATGTAATTGCTCTAGCTGTATAGATATAGACAAGTAACTTGGTTGTTCCTTTCTTCTTTTCTCATAATCTATAATGGTCAAGATAAGTTGTTGATATCAGCCAGGTTAAGCCCTATACCAAACGTTAGTCAACGGTGGTGAAGCCAAAATAAATTACAATGAGGTTCTCAGTATGTCTTGGTCCATATTATAGTCTGAACTTGTCAGCTTGATAGTATGTCTTAGTGTATATTGATAATCATACTGTAATCACTACTTTAGTTTGTCAGTACCTGCCTAACGGCTAGTTTGGGGCGGATTCTTACGGATACACACTAGTCTCCAATATATATTATAGATCTATGAACTAGCAAGGAAGTCTACGGGTAAACTATAAGATATCGACTTTGATCCCTCGCCCCAGCCCCATTCCGAGTGACCCGCCCCGGCCCCAACCGCTCCGCCTTGGGGCCGTCTGGGGCCGTCTGTCACTGTAGCTATCCAGACTTAGTATCTATTATCATACAGAGATGGAATTTAGGGAATCTATTCTTATCACCCCATCGAACCTTATACTAAGAGATTATAGTGTTTGGGGCGTGTAACTCTGCAGAGCCAGTTACATCCCACAAAGGTGACACCACTGCAGGGAAGACTTCACGATATCAAGTTCAGAAGCAGGAAGCTTACATAGAATGTCTGTGTGTCGAATCCTTCGCAGAGGAATGGTTCTGCAGGGTTACGCAGGCTGCTGTTCATCAATGAACCTAGAATATATAAAGCCAGTGTACTCAAGTGATCCTGAGATATTCAAGCAACATCCTCCAATTCCTGCCAGGCTCCAAATATCCATACATACCACCTCATAATGAAGTCCATACAAGTAGAAAGCGCCTTCTCCTACCATGGCCTTGAGATCAACAAGGCCAACCATACAGAGGTCGTCAAATCACTCATCCGGAACTTCCTGGACGATGTACAGTTCGACCGCTCCCTACCGTTTCTCAAAGACCATGAGCTTGACGTCGCGACGTGGACCTACTTCAAGAGTCTGAATCTTGGGCCACGGAACGAGAGAGCGGTGGAAAAGGTCCTCAAGCTTTCTTCCACGCTGGTCCAGCAATCTTATACTTCCCTGCCCTTCGAGATTCGAGTCATCTGTACGATACAGGTTGTGTACATGTTTCTGGTGGATGATATTGCCGATGACTTTATGGAGGAGCTGCGGTGCTTTGGTCAGAAGTACGTACCTTTATCCAAGACTGCATCGTTGATGATCACTAACGCCCTATAGTTTTGTGATGAACAACGGCCATAAACACCCCCTGCTCAGCAGATTCGACAGTCATTTACGATATCTGGCGCGGTATTACGGGCCGTACTGCCATTCGACCATCATCAAGTCGATCTTCGATTACATCAACGGGCGGATCATCGAGCACGAGATGGAACAGACCCGTTTTGCATTCCCTGCCGACTCGAGCTTGATGCCTGTGTTTCTCCGGGGGAAGGTCGGCGCTGCGGAAGTCCTGGTGGCACTGCTGTGGCCCAAGACTCTCTTCCCGGAGGACAAGTACCTGATGCAATACTTTCCGATTACCCAGGAGCTGATCACATTTATCGACTTCACCAATGACATTCTCTCATACTACAAGGAGTTTGTGATCCGAGACGAGAAGGGGAATTTCGTGTCGAATTTCGCCGAGACGCATAATATGACGTATTTGGATGTGTTACGGCATCTGACGAGCTATACTCCCAAGGTAGGTTCCACCTGACCAATCTTATATACACGGATCGAAAGATGCTAATATATCATCTCATCCAGGTCTTGATGTCCGTGTACAAAACCCTCCAAGATAAAGAAACCCTCCTCCGTCCCGTACAGGACTTTGTCAACGGCTGGATCATGTTATGTACGGCCCATCGACGGTATCATTTGGTGGAGTTATTTGCGGATGAGGGGTACCTGCCTCCATATGATGAGGATGCCTAGTCTGTTATTTACCTCGTTTAATGTATACTATTAAGACCCTCATGTCCAGTAGACACGGAGTTGAGAAGAAAGCGTCAGGTGATGTCCGTGCCCTATCTCAGGCACCCATGTGTGGCTGCCTGACTGTCTCCGGCCTGGGTGCCTGACCACTCGATGTGGTAGGCGGTGAGACACTGACCGCCCTCCACGCCCGGCAATACGGACCGATTGTTCAATTTCTCCATCCAATCGACGTTGCATCGCGTCTCATTGTTCTTCTCCATTCATCTTCTTTTCCTCTTCTTTCTCTCCGTCATTCGTCCAAGTGGGGTTGTTTCTCCCCCTCTTTCTGATCCATTGGGTTCATGCGTCGCTTCCCCTCCCCCCGCTTACCGCTGCTCTCAGCATCCTCCCTCTCTCGTCCTGTCCGCTTTTCTCGCTCTCTCACCTCCGCTGCTCCCTCCGCTGCTCACCTCTCCCTCCGTCTTCCCTCGCGTCGTGCCCCTCGTGCTCCGCTTCCACAGGTCTTTAAACGGTACTGCTCCTATCGCAGAATGTGCAGCTCGCGCCGTGCCGAGGTGCCTTCGGGCTCCACCAACATCCAGGGCCGCGAGGTCCTCCCCACCAACGTCAAGCCCGTCCACTACGACCTCACCCTCGAGCCCAACTTTGAGACTTTTAAATATGATGGAACCGTGGTGATCGAGTAGGTTGATCCAAGAAAGGAAGGTCAGGTCCACGCTCACAGTTACAGCCTCGAGGTCGCCCAAGATACCACCTCCATCGCCCTCAACGCCAACGAGCTCGACATCCAGAATGCCGTCGTCTCGGCCCAAGGCGCGGTCGTCACCTCCTCCCCCGAGATTGCCGTCGATGCCGAGAGCCAGGTCGCGACCATCCGGTTTGCTGAGACCATCCCCGCCGGGGTTGCCGCTCAGCTGAAGCTCACCTTCACCGGTATCCTCAATGACAACATGGCCGGCTTCTACCGCTCGTCGTACAAGCTGCCCTCCGGCGAGACCAAGTATCTCGCCTCCACGCAGATGGAGCCCACCGATGCCCGTCGGGCCTTCCCCTGCTTCGACGAGCCCGCCCTCAAGGCCAAGTTCACTGTCACCCTCATCGCTGACAAGGACATGACCTGCCTGGGCAACATGGACGTCGCCTCCGAGACCGCCGTCGGCCAGACCAAAAAGGCCGTCCGCTTCAACACCTCCCCCCTCATGTCCACCTACCTGGTCGCCTTCATCGTCGGCCACATGAACTACATCGAGTCCACCGCCTTCCGCGTCCCCATCCGCGTCTACGCCACCCCCGACCAGGACATCGAGCACGGCCGCTTCTCCCTCGACCTCGCCGCCCGCACCCTCGCCTTCTACGAGAAGGCCTTCGACAGCGACTTCCCCCTGCCCAAGATGGACATGGTCGCCGTCCCCGACTTCAGCGCCGGCGCCATGGAGAACTGGGGTCTCATCACCTACCGCATCGTCGACGTCCTGTTGGATGAGAAGACCAGCGGCGCCTCCCGCAAGGAGCGCATCGCCGAGACCGTCCAGCACGAGCTGGCGCACCAGTGGTTCGGCAACCTCGTCACCATGGACTTCTGGGACGGCCTCTGGCTCAACGAGGGCTTTGCCACCTGGATGTCGTGGTACTCCTGCAACAGCTTCTACCCCGAGTGGAAGGTCTGGCAGACCTACGTCATTGACAACCTGCAGAGCGCCCTCTCCCTTGACTCGCTCCGCAGCAGCCACCCCATCGAGGTTCCCGTCAAGCGCGCCGACGAGATCAACCAGATCTTCGACGCCATCTCCTACTCCAAGGGCTCCTCCGTCCTGCGCATGATCTCCAAGTACCTCGGCGAGGAAACCTTCCTGCAGGGCGTGCGCGACTACATCAAGAAGCACGCCTACGGCAACACCGAGACGGGCGATCTGTGGGCTGCCCTGGCCGCCGCCAGCGGCAAGCCCGTCGAGCAGGTCATGGACATCTGGACCAAGAACGTCGGTTTCCCCGTCGTCAGCGTCACCGAGGACCCGGCCACCTCGACCATCCGCGTGCGCCAGAACCGCTTCCTCCGCACGGGCGACGTCCGCCCCGAGGAGGACACCACCCTCTTCCCCGTCATGCTGGGCCTGCGCACGCAGAACGGCGTCGACGAGGACACCATGCTGCGCGACCGCGAGGCCGCCTTCCCCGTTCCCAACCTCGACTTCTTCAAGCTCAACGCCGACCACTCGGCCCTGTACCGCGCCTCGTACACGCCGGAGCGCCTCACCAAGCTGGGCCAGGCCGCCGCCCGCGGCCTGCTGACGGTCGAGGACCGCGCCGGCATGATCGCCGACGCCGGCGCCCTCGCCGCCTCCGGCTACCAGAGCACCTCCGGCCTGCTGTCCCTGCTGCAGGGCCTCGACAGCGAGACCGAGTTCGTCGTGTGGAACGAGATCCTCACCCGCGTCGGCAGCCTGCGCGCCGCCTGGCTGTACGAAGACACCACCACCAAGGACGCCCTCAAGGCCTTCCAGCGCGCGCTCGTCAGCGCCAAGGCCCACGAGATCGGCTGGACCTTCACCGAGAACGACGGCCATATCGAGCAGCAGCACAAGGCCCTCCTCTTCGGCAGCGCCGGCCTCGCCGACGACCCCGTCATCGTGAAAGCCGCCCAGGACATGTTCGCCAAGTTCGCCGCCGGCGACTCCAGCGCCATCCACCCCAACATCCGCGGCAGCGTCTACTGCATCGTGCTGAAGCACGGCGGCGCAGCCGAGTACGACGCCGTGCTGGACCGATTCCGCCACGCGCCCACCTCCGACGAGAAGACCACCGCGCTGCGCTGCCTCGGCGCCTCAGAGGTTCCCGCCCTCATCCAGCGCACGCTCGACCTCGCCATGAGCGACGAGGTCAAGAACCAGGACATCTACATGCCGCTGGGCGGTCTGCGCAGCAGCACCGTCGGCATTGACGCCCGCTGGGCCTGGATGAAGGCGAACTGGGATGCGCTGTACCAGCGTCTGCCGCCGGGACTGGGCATGCTGGGCACGGTGGTGCAGTTGACGACGGCTAGTTTCTGCACGGAGGCGCAGTTGAAGGATGTAGAATCATTCTTTGCCAATAAGGATACTAAGGTACCGCCTCCTTCTGTTTTTCTTTTTCCTTCCTTCTTCCTCTCTTCTCTTTCTTACCTATATATCATACGACATGCTAATCATATAATAGGGCTTCGACCGCGCCGTCGAACAAAGTCTCGACGCTATCCGCGCCAAGGTCCACTGGGTGGGACGTGATCGGGGCGATGTCAGCTCGTGGTTGAGCACGAACGGGTATCTGGGGGGTGGGAAGTTGTAATCCTTCTTATCTTGCCTGATTTGAACTCTGTAGTATACATAGTGCAGATCGGTCAGGTTCATCAATCTGATCGGCTTTACAGAGTATTGAATACATCTCTTCTCTCTTCCTCTCCTCTACTCTTCTGTGTATCTCTACGTACGTGTGTTTATGCTCCTACTAGTGATTCTCTCTGTCTAGCTAGAGCTAGCATACCATGTATCAATGAACATGACTACCAATCCAGGTAATCGAGGGAATCCAGCTGATCCAGCCAGTACAAGACTCATCCTTGCATCTTACGAACACACACGCACACCTGAAACCATATAGCAGATGGATGCAATAGATAATAACAATAATGTCAATGACGACGAATCAATCCATTCATCTATTTCATTAATTAAGTTAAGAAAGTAAAAGTAAGATAAGTAATCACCACCCCTTCCCAAACGGCTCATCCTTCTTACTAAACCCTCCCCCTCCCCCGCCACCACCGCGATTCGGCTTCGACTGGGCAGCTTCATGCTTGCGGAGGTCCTCCGGGACGCGCGAGATGGGCGATTTCATGAGCATTTGTTTGAGGTCGTACCTTCATTATCATCATTAGCATGTTTTCTTTGGTTGATAAGGGGGAGAAATCGATAGGGGGGTATAAGGAGAAGGGGAAAAGCAAGAGAAGAGAAGAGAAAAAAAACATACATAACATCCGAATCCTCACTCCCCAAGAAGGTAATCGCGACACCGCTCTTGCCCGCACGACCCGTACGACCGATACGGTGCGTGTAGCTCTCGATACTAGTCGCCATGTTGAAGTTCACGACGAGACTGACATCCGGCACATCAATACCGCGGCCGGCGAGGTCCGTCGCAACGAGGACATCTGTGGCGCCGCTCCGCACCGAGGCGAGGGCCGCCTCACGCTGGTCCTGCGTTTTGCTGCCGTGCAGCGTGACGGAGGAGTATCCCCACTGTTTGATTTCGCGGGCGATGGCATCGCAGTTGCGTTTGATGTTGACGAAGACGATGATGGGGGGGCGGAAGTCGCGCGAGGCGAGGATCTCGCCGAGGCGCTTCTTGCGCTTGTCTTCGCCGGAGATGAGCTCGACGCGCTGCTCGACGGTGTCGACTGCTTCGCCGGCGGAGCCGATTGTGACGATTGCGGGGCGGCGGAGGTATTTGCGGGCGATGCGCTCGACGGCGGTGGGCATGGTGGCTGTGTACATCATTGTTTGGCGGTAGTGGTGGGAGCGCATGAGGGAGGAGTTTTCGGCCTCGTCGGTGTCGGGCTTTTCGTTGGTTACGGGGAGGGCGTCGAGGATTTTGTTGACGGGTTCTTCGAAGCCGAGGTCGATCATGCGGTCTGCTTCGTCCATGATGATGTAGCAGCACTGGGAGAGGACGAGCATGCGGCGCTCGATGCAGTCGACGAGACGGCCGGGCGTGGCGATGATGATTTCGGCGCCGTCGCGGAGGGAGTAGGCTTGTTCTTCGAGGGAGTGGCCGCCGACGATGCTGACGACGTTGAAGCCGAGGGGCTGGGTGAATTTCTTGGCTTCGATTTCGATCTGCTGGGCGAGTTCGCGCGTCGGGGCGAGGACGATGGCGTAGGGCCCGTCGTTTTTGCGCCACTCGAATTCTTGGATGCTGGGGAGCTCCGCGATGTAGCAGAGGAGGGGGAGGAGGAAGGCGGCTGTTTTACCGGATCCCGTGACGGCCACGCCGATGAGGTCGCGCGATTGCATCGCGATGGGGATGGCCGCGCGCTGGATGGGGGTGGGCTCTTTGTAGCCGACGCGGTTGACGAGCTCCATGAGCTGGCTGGGCAGGCCGGATTCGTCCCATGAGCGCATGGGGTTGGGCACGGCGCCGCCCTTGGTCGCGATGTTGAAGTCCTCCTTGAAGATGCGCCAGTCGCGCTCGCGCATGTGCTCGAGTTTCTTCTCGCTCCAGTGCTTGTCGAGCTGGTTGCGCGTGCTGTCCTCGCGGCGGCGGCGCTCCATCTCGAGGATTTCGCGCGCGCGGATGCCGCCCGCTTCGCGATCGCGGTCTTCCAGTGCCCGCGCGTACTTCTTCGTCAGAGAGTCCGCCACGTCGTCGCTGAATCCCGCGAGCCGGCCGCGGCCGAAGAAGTTGGCTTCGTGCCGGTGCTGGTACAGCGGGTTGTAGTCGCCGCTGGTGTCTTCCTCTGCGTTCCACTCGAAGTTGAACTTGCGGTCTGTCGTCCGCTTGCGCTTCTTCTTCGCTGAGAAGTTCGACGTCTGGTCTGCTCCCATGTACCGCTGCTTCACGAGCGCTGCCTGTGCAGCAGTCTCGTCCTCCTCCACCGCCCGCTTCTCGCCTTTCCTGTCTCGGCCTTTGCCTCCTCGTTCGGTTGGGCGCATGGCGGCCGGGGCTGACGGGGTGTCGCTGTTCCGCATAGCGCGGGGTCCGGTTGGGACTGATCGGCTATCGCCATTGCGGGGGTACGAGTTCGAAGAAGACTCCACGCTGTCGTCAAAGCCATTCGCATTCGACGGGGTTCCGGACTTGCTCTTGCGATCCGCCTCGACCTCTTTGGCGCGTTTTTCCAAGGCGATCTTTTCTCGTTGGGCTCGCGACAGGAATTTAGGCTGTTGAAAGCAACATAGAAACTATCAGTATAAATCTTGATTACCAGGGTGGTATAGATAAACCAACCTTAGCAGCAGCAGCATCCGCCTCCCTCTTCTTCCTCACCAAATCATCCACACTCAACGGCGTGGCCGCCGGCTTCTTCCCCCACCCGAGCTTCTTCTTCTTGGTTTCTACCGGCGGGGGTGCAGGCGGTGCATCTTCCGGCGGCGGCGGCGGTGCGGACACCTCGGGGGGCGGCGGAGGAGCGGCGGAGTCCTCTGGGGGAGGCGGAGGCGGTGTCGGAGGACGCTCGATCGGCGAGGGGGGAGGGAGCCTCGTGGGATCTGGTGTGGATCCGTCGGGTACGAAGCCGTTCATGATGGGTGATGTGATGGTTATGATGGTGTTGGAGGTGAGGTCGGAGATGGCGTCGGTCTTGGAAATTCTGCGGCGCGGAAGATGCGGGATCACGTGATATTCAACCAGGACAGTCACCTTGGTATACAACAGGTCTAGTGATGACTACAGCTTTTGGATTGGAAGGATACGGCATCTACTATTATTGAGACTACCTAGCATTAAAGTACAGTGAAACGTGCCCAAACTCATAAGTCCACCCAACATCACATGAGGTCATCGAGAGCAACCAAAACAACCACCTCGCAGTCCAACCAACTACAAGATGGGAAAATGAAACAGGAAATGTTCTACACGGAGTAGGAAAGGGAATGCGGGGAATGGAGGGAAAAGAAACGATTTACGGACTGGGGAATCATCACGGTCGACCACCTAGGCTACGCTGCCGTTGACGGGCTCCGGCTGCTGGTAGTAGGCGTAAGGGTTGGGCTGCGGGGTCCCGCCGGCCGCTGCGGCCGTCGCAGGGTCCGGCACCGGGACCGCCGGGGCAGGGGTGATCGGGGTCGCGGCCTGGGCTTCCGCGCGGGCGGCTTGAGCTGCAGCACCGGTCCGGGCGTGGGCCACGGACGCCGGCCCGTGGACTTCCCGGTCCAGCGTCATGTACTCCTTGGCGGCGTCCTTGGTCCCGCGCTCGAGGAGGTAGACCATGTAGGTCTGGACCAGGTCCTTGACGACCTCCAGCGGGAGTGAGCTCTTGGAGCGGATGTCATCGACGACCTGCTTGATGCGGTCGTACTGCGCCTGCTCGGTGGCTTCGCTGGTCGGCTGGTACAGCTCGAACAGGAGGTAGCTGCTCCAGAAGGCCTGGCTGTCGAGGTAGTACTGCTGGTTGGTCTGGTAGACCTGTCGGGCCTCCTCGGGCGAGCCCTTGATCTTCCAGAGCAGGCGGGCCCACTCCGCCACGAGCGCGGCCTTGGTGGCCATGTCGGACTCGGGCGAGTCCAACTGGGTCTTGTAGACCTCGATGGCGGCCTCCAGGCCCCCCTGGCGGCGGGACATGTTGGCCAGCGACACGATCGTGTCGACGTGGTTGGGCATGTTGATGAGGATGGCGGAGTGGATCTCCTTGCCGACGTCCACGCGGCCCACCATCTCCTCGAAGTAGGCGTACTGCAGGCGGATGGCCGGGTTCGCGATGGGGACGTACAGGCAGCAGGCGCGCTGGTAGATGTTCCGGACCTCCTCCTCCTTGTCGGCCTGGGAGGCCATCCAGCGCGCGTAGCGCTGCCAGAACTCGTCGTAGTGGGCGCAGGTGACCAGACAGCGCTCGTAGAGGAACTGGATGCGCGGGTACTGGCCCTCGGACTCTTCAAAGTCGAGGTACTTTCGCCAGTTGACGAGCTGGCCCTCGTCGAGCTCGGTCACGTGGAAGTAGGGGCGCTTGATCTCCGACTCGTACGTCCACCGCTTGGTGGTCTCGGTCTGGGTGCGCGAGAAGATCTCGAGGTGGTGGGCGTCGACGCGCAGGCGCAGATCGCGCTCGATCTCGGCCTCGGCCTTGGCGCCGGGGGCCACCTGCGCCGAGGCGGCGTCGAGTTCGGCGCGGAACTGGGACAGGATCTCCGGGGAGGCCAGCTCGGCCACGGGGCGTGTTTGCGCCAGCTGGCGGTAGCGTTCGAAGTAGCGGGCGTACTGATGCATGGGGATGTGGATGACGCGACCGAGGATGCCAAAGATCTTGTCGACGGCCTCGACACGCTCCTCGTATTCGATGTACTTGTCCCAGAACGGGTGTGCCAGGAAATCCAGTCCCACACAGGCGACACCACGTTCGAACAGTCTGCATCATGTTAGTCCGGGAGTCCGGGGCATCCATCAAACACGACTAAGGGGGGGAGGGGACGGGGAGGGCAGGCGACGGGAGACAGGGGGAAGGAAGGGCAGGATGGCAGACATGAGCAGTAATCTTCAAGAGCCCAAACATTTGAAACGACGAGGGTGACCAGAACATGGCAAAAGACGAGCAAGCCCACTGCATCGAGCGCAGAGGGCCATCCACCGAGCAAGAAGTCACCGCTGGAGTCGGTGCAAGGAAACAGGTGCTTGCTTTCAAAAGATCAAGGGAAAGGAGACAGCCTGAGAAGCCACGGGTGAGAAGTAACTCCAGCACAGTCCAGGTAAGGCATCTCACCCATCAGCACGGGAACTGTCGTTGCGTAGGATCTGCGGCTTCGTTCGCGTGCTGCTGTATGGTTACGAAAGGGGGGAGGAGAGGGGAGAAGGGAAGGAAGGAAACCAGCGATAGACAACTTACTCTCGGATCACATCAGGGTCGTGAGAGGTTTCGGCTTTGAAGGTGCAGTAGTTCGTCCAGAGATCGACGGAGGGGGAGATGCTCGCGACGCCTCGTTCGTAGACCTGTATTCTTAGCGACCGACCGTAGCGGACGGAACTGGCGTCAGAGATCATACCATATCTGCCGCCTCCGTTCCTGTGATTGAGAATTCCAGATCGGCATATTTCTTCCAGTATCCGAACAACAAGGGGAATTTGGCGAGGAAACGATCGTAGACATTTCGGACGGTGGTGATGGCCTGGGGGTTGGAGTTGCGGTTGATTCCGCCTTCGAGGGCCTCTGCGGCGCGAACGAATCGTTCCCAGGTGTCGAAGTTATCAGGATCATCAGTCTGAAGTCCGAGTCAGCATAGGTGTCTAACTATTTCCATGAGCGACATACCAATTCCACCTCGATCTTCCTCAGCTCCGCATTCTCCTCCTCGGAGCCGCCATAGAGGTAATCAGCCATGGTGGCTAGACTAATGACAATGGACAATACGGGATAGATAGAGGAGTGAGGATAAGAGAATGAACAATCAACCAGAGTAGAAGGATAGAAGGGGGAGAGAAGAGTGGATGTGAAGAAGAAGAGAGATGTCGCAAGGAAGCCAGACAAGACAAGACAGTAACTCGACCGTAACTGAAGGTCTCAGTCTTTCCAGCCACAGGAAAAAAGCCGAGCCGCCGCCGAATCCGGTTTAGCGCCAGCCTGAACAATCTCAATCCTTCTCCATCTTCATCTTTATCTCCATCATTCAACTCAACTTCGACACACACGAACCCACCCGCGGTCTTGAAACAATTGAAACAATTGTGTCTGGACATCCGCCAAAATGGCTACTCCAGCAACCACTCTCGCCAGCAAACTCCCCCCGCGCCTCCTCAGCTTCTTCGCGCGGTACCCTCCCCAACTCTATTCCGCGGCCGTGACCCCCAAGTCCGAACCCCCATCCAGCACAAAATCCACAACCACACCGTTACCAGAGACGTCGTCAGCGATCGACCCATCCACAGGGGAATCGACCCTCCCCTCGCCCTACACACCCAACCGCGACGCAGGCGGCCACAAACGGCCCGACCCCAGCGCGTTCTCCCCGTCCAAGGCCATCCTCGCCACCACCGCCGAGCATCCCAACCCGTTCCTGCCGCGCAAGAACTTCCGCACGGGCAAGTGGATCGGTCCGCGCGTGGGTCTGCGCGTGCAGGCCGAGCTGGTCAAGCTGGCGGCCAAGTACGACATTGAGGAGCTGCTGCCGGCGGGACGCAAGTCGACGGAGTTTAAGGAGACGAGGCGGGCGGAGCGTGGTCTCGCGATCAAGGGTACGGGTGTTGGGCAGAAGGTCAAGGGTCATAAGTGGGAGAGGACGATGGAGACTCGGTTGGATGATCGTCGGAAAGCCATGATGGAGATGCCGGAGGCGATCCGGTTGTGGAAGCAGGTTTGTTCCCTTCTTCTTCTTCTCTTCGGTGATGAAACGGTTGATGCTAATCCTGGTGCAGAGAGGTCATGGTCGTGGCTGGAAGAAGTGGCCCAAGCGGTAAATTTAGGTCACTCTGGGCTGAGTTTGTATTATGTTTGGATCGACTGTCTACGGGATGGTCTGTGGGATGGAGTTAGCATGTCTACTATGTACAATATATACTGGTGGATTCCTTGTATGAATGATAGTTTACTACATATACTACATGGTCAATTCATGAACAATACCACCACTTGAATGCTGTAGTAGGTATGCAACAACCCAGCATGTATCATCACCCATCCTAAACCAACACCAACCCACACAGCCAACCAACACCCAAGACATAAGAAAGAAAAATCAAAACCCACCCCTAACCCCATCCCCAACCATAACACCAACACCAACCGCTTCCCCAGCAGAGTGATTAACAGAAACATGCCTCCCAAAAAACACCCCCCTTCCAACCTTTCTCGTCTTCACAAGCGTCGAATACGGCTCATCGCCGCGTATTCCCGTCGTCTGATCTACACAGACCATTTGACAGCGTTGGCAGGAGGCGAGGACATTAAATTTCATCTCTTGTTGTTGTTGTTGATTTTGGTGGTTTTGGTGATGGGATGGCGGGATAACAGTGAATGAGTTCCATGTATCTTCGACGTAGGGATTCTCTATGCGTGTGCTGTTAGGGAAGGAGGGTGATTCTGCGATGAGGATGTTTGCGCGAAAGACGTCTGCAGGGACTGCTTTTGATTTCGGTCTTGGTGTTGCAGTGGTGGTTGTAGAAGTAGTGGAAATAGTGGAAGGAAGAGAACCCGACTTGATATGTTCGTTCAAGCGATTAACGGACGAGCGGGATATAAGTAAGATAGGACTTTCATTAGAGAGGAGGATAGGCTGGTTTGCTTGAGAAGAATTCGGAGTCGATGAAGTAGGAGTAGTGTCAGGAAAAGCACCAGGCATACTACCAACACCAGATTGCGCCGCACGCAATGCAGACTCACGACCTCCTCCCCCTCCTCCCGCCCCCATCTTCTCAGGCAACGGAGGAAACCGTGCCAACGTACACGGGACATCAAGAAAAGACGAAAAGAAAGCAGACACGGCCGGAGCCGTATAAGCCTGGACGACAACCCGATCTCCACAGACAGTAGACGGCTTCGACGCGCTCTGGCACAGCGAGGTCGTGCATGTCGGATTCCGGTCGGTATGTCCCCGGTCTAACGACACTTCCAAGACGGCATCGCCTGCCGTAATGCGCAGAACTCCAAGGGTTAAGTCAATGAAGGGCTTAATGAGCGCCATCCGCGGATACCGCTTCTGGTTCAGCGTTGCGCCTGTGCCCTGGTGAATAAGACACCACTCGCGGTCCCACGCGAGACCCTCCTTCTTGACGGTCCAGCGTTGACCGTCGGGGACTTTGAACGCGCCGCAGCTTTTGATGGGGTATACTGATAGGGCTTCGATGTAGAATTCAGCCGGGGAGATGTCTTCAACCGGGGGATCCGAGGCAACACGCGCATCCTTCTCAACGTAGAACTCGTCCACGAAATTCACAAACGCATCGACATCGCCCAGACTACTCATCGCGCCCAAACTCACTCGCAGAATCCCCGTCGGCCGCCCATCCATGATATCGTGATCATCACCGCAGCGCAATCCCGCAGAGAAATGGCGACGCATGTCCCCGCCACTCCAGCCTAGACTCCGCGCCGTCCCGCCGGGATTGCACAGCGTGCCGGAGCGGATCTGGATGTTCTTCACGGCGGCGAGTCTCTCCACCTCGGACTTGCCGATCCATGCGCCTTGACTGTTCAGTAGATTGAGGGCGATGATGGGGCCTTGTCTTGTTGAATCTCCGTAATCTGCCCCTCCATACAGACAACAGACAGGCTGACCATTCCAGTGTCTCAGCGCAGCTAACCGCCCCGCTAGCCGTTGTGCCAGAAAACGCACATGAAGCGCAACGCGCTCCATGGACCCGTATAACCGGGCATGAGTCTCCATCGCCGCGCTCAGCGCAACAATACTATGAAACGGGAGCGTACCGTCCTCCAAACACTCATGTATATCCCCCTTCTTCGCATGCCACTTCCCTTCTGCCTCCGCAGAAGCAAGAACCATATCGACGGTCCCACCACCGAAGAACTTCCTAGCGCGGAGAACCTCCTCCACAGCATCCCCCCTGCGCACGATCAGCGCTCCTAGATCCGGGAACCCAAAGATCTTGTAGAAGCTCAGCACGGTGAAATCCGGTGCTGTCCGCGCGTCGCTTAGATCTAGCGGCGAGGTTGATACCAGCGCTGCTGCGTCGAGTAGAGTGAACACCTTTCTATTCTCATTCGCACGCTCAGTCCTTGCCTGGTTGGCTCGCCGGATGCGCTCGCACCACCGTGCTGGGAGAAGTCTCCGGCCGTTCATGTTCGACTGTGCGGGGAAGGCGAATAGTTGCGCTGGGTGCTTGTCGTCGCCGTTGCGTAGTGTAGTGTCAATCCACCCGTCCACCTCATCATCCGTCTCAAAGCAGCGGCTTCGCGCAGCTAACTCGCGCGCGCCGACTAAACTCGTATGCGCATCCACATGGTATCCGTACCAGAAGCCATTGCGCGACTCCTCCTGGGAGATGGTGTCAGAAGGTGAACGGGAAGAATAATCCCTCAACGCATCCCCCACAAGCTTGATCCCGGCCGTTGCATTCGGTACAAAAACCAAATCAAACAATTCCGGGTCCGCGTTGAAGAAGCGCAGTGCGCGCAGACGGATGTCGTCTATGCGTTGGGTGGCGAGCTGGGAGGAGGAGGAGAGGGAGTGGGGGTTGCCGTAGAGGGATGTTGTTAGGTCTGCTGTAAAGGAGGTGATGAGGGAGGTGGAGTAGGGGGTTGTGCCTGCGTGGTCTAGGTAGGTTGTTCCTTTATATCTTATGGTTAGTATTGATTTGGATTTGGAGAGGGGGGGAGGTGTTTGAGAGGTGGTTGAGGGGGGAGTTGGGAATGTTTAGATGGGTTAAGGTGGGGATACCGCTGAGGAGAGGATACTCCCTTTCGCGGAGAGAGTCCACTTCGTCCAGGTAGGGACTATCGCTGGATTGTGCTGTCATTGCTGTGTAGCATGTCTGTTATTTACTAGACATATAATATCAGAGCATTATTGCAAGTTATATGACAGCAGTGGCGAACAGAGGTGGAGGAGGTGTATCTATACCTCAAGCGGACAGGGTGCGCATCTCACCCGCACATATATCAGTCGGGCAGCATATCTCAATTAACCAATTATTAAAAAGTAAGAAGACGAAAGCAACGTCAAGAATAGACGAAGTATAGCCAGATAGCTAGCTATGTGTCGATCGCGAAGAGAGGAGACTAGTGAGTCCCCCACTCTTGTTATCGGTGCGGGGAGATCATGTCGTGATAATACCGAAAAGTCGTGGCAGTAGATGTCATGGTTTGGACATTGGGGAAATGTACGTGTATACCACTATAGACACGGAAGATATGTATTGCCACGGTGTCAAGGGTGGTGTTGATCAGTCTACATCATGTATTGGAGTATTTCTAACTCCCCATATCTAGACTAAGAGTATACCGGTTCTCCAAACAAGCATGTACATTCATGAATTATTAACAACGGATATCATGCTCATCAATCCCTAGCTGAAAGAAAAAAAGAAAAAAAGGAATCAGATCAGTCCAACATCATAATCCATAAGTCCATAATCCATAAGCATAAGTCATAGCCAACCAGGTCAACAAGCATCCCCAGACGTCCATCATATCAATACATCATATCACATCATCCATAAAGCCACGCCGCAATCAAACAACATAATGCGGCCGACTATGCGACCCACTACTATGCCTCCGATGCGACGAGTGTCCCCTGCGAGAACTATGGCTCCTCCTTCTCACAGGAACATCCTTCTCCTGCCCGCGATACAAAAACATCGCCAAAATAGCCGTCCAAAAGAAAAACACCGTCTCCATAATGCCCAGCGCGAAACACGTCTTCAGCATCGCGCACGTCTTGTTAATATCCACCGCAAGCGGGTTTCCCGTGCGTTCGCCGTATACCCCGAACGGGCCGAGCGAGATAGTGACTGTGCCTGCGCGCCAGTGGGCACAGTTTGCGGATGCGATAAAGCGAAGCTGGTAGACGGAGGCGATGAACGCTCCGAAGAAGAGCAGGTCGACGAAGGCGACGAAGGCGGCGGAGCGTTTGGTGGTTGAGTGGCGGATTAGGGTGTCGATGGCCCAGAAGACGGCGATGACGCTGACGATGAAGAGAACGAGGATGTAGGACGGGGTGATTTGGTTGGCTTTGAGGTATCCGTCGATGAAGTAGGCCTTTTATTTGTTAGTGGGGGTGTAGTAAGATATGGGGGGGGGTGAGAAGAGGAACGGACCATCATTCCGATGATGGGAATGAGAAAGGTAATCTCCACCAGGCGGTTGAAGATGAAGAAGAGACTTCCGATCATGGTGGTGGTTGGTGGATGTATGCGATCGGTGGGTTGGAATGTGCGATTGACAGTGCTATAGAAGGAGACAGTGCTATGGGAGGGAGGTCGCGATGACTTCGACTGTCATCCGAGAGAACGACGCTGGTGTGACGAGAACCCAGTGTACCGAATGAAGAAGAAACAAGGTAAATCAACAACCAGAGAGATCGAGATCTGTCGATCAACAATCAAACAAACGGGTACCTGCAAGTCACTCGAGATTCCGACCAACGCACGAGGAACTCGTAGTTAAAAGACACCACGTACACAAGAATGCCGAAAGAATAGCTGAATGGAAGATAAATAAGAAGGAAAAAATATCCCAAGACCATGTAAGGGAAGAAAGTGACATGCAGAAGAATGCAACATCAGAGGAGGCTGGGCCATTGAGTCGGCGGGGTGGCTGGGAATCAACTCAACCCGTCGCATCGCGGAACTTTGCAGCCAGGCGCTTAATTTAAGATGATTCGCTGGGATTCGGTTAGAAATCCATCGAGGTACTTAATATAGAGCACATATAGTATATTTGAACAATCGATACTGTTTATAAATATGGTTTAGATCCTCAATGCAACCCTAGATCTCAGCCCCACGTGTGGACCATGGTCTAGTCTCTGTATCCAGATAGTAGTCTATCCATACAACTGTCAACATTGCTCAATCCAGACCTATCATACAGATCCTAAATCAACTAAAACCAAACCATCATGTCAAATCAAACCCATGTCAAATCAAACCCATGTCAAATCAAACCCATGTCAAATCAAATATCGTCACGTCGTGGCAGTAACCAAAACAATCTATCAAACAAATAGACAATCTACACATTCCGACCTGGTACGTCCGTCACCGTCCGTCCCCCGTGCAGATGTTCCGGCGTCGTCGTCATCGAGCGTGGTGCCGCATGCGATATCCCCATGCCCATGCCCGCCCCCATCCCCGATGCCGTCGACTGCGGGCCTGGGTAGGCCGTGTCGGCGGCGTACCGCGGCAATGAGCCGTCCAACCCTGGGTTCTGAGGTCGGTTGTAGCCGTGTTGCATCTCGTAGCCGTCTGCGACGTCGTCTTCGCTGGATGAGGACCAGTTCCCGTCGTCGCCGCGCGACCGGTGGTGGTATACGTTCGCCGCGTGGGGGTCTGCGTAGGGGTTGGACGTCGTGTATGGGTTGGATCCTGGGTAGGGGTTGGATCCGGTCGCGTAGGTGGGCGCACTGAGTCCGGTCGTTGTCGGCCCGCTCGTCACTGCCAGGCCTGGCGCGTCCATGCGCTCGTCGTCTGGGTTCCGGAGGGCGGCAGTACTCTCGCTGGGTGCGTAGGGCGCGACAGGCTCGGAGCCCCACGAGCGGATCGGATGCGCGCGTCCCTTCTTCCAGGGCTCCGACAGCGGCGGGAAATACTGGCGGTAAGAAAGGAAGGCGCAGACGACGCCCAGAAGGGAGCCCGTGATCACGTCGAAGGGGTGGTGGCGCGCGTCCATGATGCGGCTCACGGCGACCAACGTGGCGCCAATGCAGGGCGCGACGATGATGGCCATTTTCCAGACTTCGCCCCGGTTGTCCCAAAGGTGCAGCTTTCCGCTGAGCCAGAGTGTCAGGTAGAATAGGCCGGCGAAGGATGCTATGAGAGGTCAGCGGTGTACGTGCATTTGATCCGACAAGCGCTTACAGCTACTATGGCCTAGAATGGGTTAGCGACGTGGCAGGAAGAGAGGGAGACAGAGACGTACCAGAGGGCCACGACCGAAAGCCATCCTTGATGATGTGGGGATCGCCGGTACAGATGGTGTAGTTGGACAGACCGGGGATCAGGTCCACACTTCCCTCGCGAGGCTTGCAGCGATCAATGATATCAGGCCGGGGTTTCCCACAGGCACTCTTCAGACCCTGGGTGATGACGAAGGCGACGGCCTGCGACAACAAGAGGCCCAAGAAACCGCAGTTGAACTCCCACAGGCGGTCCTTCAACCGGTAGGGGCCCATCAGCTTCCTCTTCCCGGACATGGGGCTGGTGGGCTTGTGGTGGGAAAACAAGCCATCGAGTAGGAGGGTGTAGACGGCGATGATGGCCAGCGGGATGATGCCGGAGACGATCAGTGCCCCGTTGATGGAGATGCGCTCGTGAACGGCGTAGGGATATTGGAGGGAGATGTTCCTCAGGGAGAAATGCTGGTGGTAGGGCTCGATGGAGTCGATGATGTAGAAGCCGGCGATACATGCACTAGACGGTGGGGTTAGCGATAGATAGTGGATCGTAAGAATTGGAGAAGGACTCACATGAGGATTACATAGTCTAGGATGTATCTACCCAACAGTCACCAGATTAGCCATTGTGACACAGTCGAGCACCTGGAGGAGGCTCACGAGATGACGATGCGCGGCCGTAAGCGCCGCTTGGTGAAGAGCAATTTATCAGGGAGACGACCCATTTCGAGGGATTTAAGGATAGTGAGATGAAGAGAAGCGACAGAGCATTCTATAGTATTTCATTGAGTCAATTAATTATTCCTTTGGAACTATTTCCTTGATATATGTCCAACGCGACAGGGACAACGCAGCGGAAAACTCACCGTGAAGTGTGGAAACCAGGCACCGTGACCTGCACAGTACTAGTGGAGGCGAATCAGATCCGAGGAGAAAACAAGATTCTCGAGTAAGGGGTATGGGGAAGAAAGAACTGTCAAAAAGAAGAAGCAAAAGAAGAAGAAGAAGAAGAGAGGTGAGGTCGGACGTGCATCGTGATAATAAAGACGAATGATCAGGCAAACGGGACCAGGCTTGGCTCAGCCCCTGGCCTTACTGGAGTCAGACCGCCCAGACCATCTGGTCCCGCCGATCCACTTACTCCGCCTCTTTAGAAGCCGATCTGATCTTTGTAACTGCCTAGAAGTCCGAATTATATCTGATATGTGGCTAGTCAATTGTCTATGTAGATATATTTTTGGAAATCATCATGGAAAGAATACGAAGAATATTAATGAATTACTTGATCAATCAACCGCGTACACCTTCAAGCTGCCCCTGGGCCTCAGGCGGCTGGACCACGGGTGGCGCGGGTGCCTGAAACGTGGGACCCATAGTTATCCAGCCCGACTATTAACCTATATGTACACATATCTGGATGAAGAACTATACGAACAATACTCTTTTTTTCTTCTGGCTCATTCTAATACCCCACATTAGGATCATATTGAGGACCCTTCCAGTCTTCCAATCTGATCTTCCACATCCACCGTCCATGCCGGACTTTTCACAAACAGAAAGAAAGACTTATTTCGTCATGTACTAAAATTCATACGGAAAAAAGAAAGAAAGAGAAGAAATAGAAACAAAGAAAAGATGATTGTCATCAACAGAGTGGGGTCCATGAGTCATGTCCGCGTCGCGTTGGGGACTTCCCCAACCGGCTTGATTCGTTTAGCAGACCGTGATGTACAGGCCGAGACTAGAGTATGTTAGCGCGTCATCCAATGTATAGATCGTGAGGGAAGGAACATACGGTGCAGGGTTGTAGTCCTGGAAGAACTCCAGATCGGTGCTGCCCCCACTCTTCATCTCGTAGCTGACCGCCTGTCCCGCGGGGCACGAGAAGCTGGAGATCATGTACGAGTTGCCCGGCGCGATCGTCTTGCTGCCCAGCTCCTGCTTCACCGACGGCTTGTCGCTGTAGGTCACCGACTCGGACGCTGCCGACGACAGGGACGCGAAGTCGACCTTGCCGTCGCCGCTGAAGCTGTACGAGGACGTCTCGAGATCCTCCAGGTGGGGGAACAGGAAAACGAGGTTGCACGTCTTGCCGGCATCCGACTGCGGCACGTCGAAGTTGAAGATGGTCGAGATGGTCGACGACACCGTGCCGTTGAACTGGGTGCCGAATGCCTCGTCGGGAGACGAGGAGTCCACGGGGACGATCAGGTGAGGGTACTCATACTCGCCATGCAAGTCCGAGTCCACCGGGCAGTTACCGCCGGACGGCTGACCGGGGGTACCAGAAGTGCCAGGCTGACCCGGGGTACCGGAAGTGCCAGGCTGGCTAGGGGTGCCGGGCTGGCCAGGAGTGCCAGGAGTGCCGGAAGTACCAGGCTGACCGGGGGTACCAGGCTGGCCAGGGGTGCCGGGCTGGCCAGGAGTGCCGGAAGTGCCAGGCTGACCGGGAGT